CTGTGAGTCTGTGGCTGGGCCAAGGTCACCCCGTTGGCTCCATGGCCGAGTGGGGACTAGAACCCGGATCGTCTGAGTCCCAGTCTTGTGCTTTTAACCACTAAGTCTGCCTGTCTGTGTGTGTGTGAGAGAGAGAATATTCAAGCTCTTCCACTGGGTTTCTAAAAATTAAATACTAGGGAGGTGGACATGCATGGAAATACAAGCACATGGACAAAACACACACACACACCGCTTCCTTTAGGATCACCTGCCATTACTTATGCAGAAGGACAGTCTTCCTAAAACCATTTCGAGTGGCAGCTTGAGATCCACTCAACTGCATGATTCAGCTTCCATTAACCCAGACTTAGGAGCTCCATCCCAAAAGAAGCTGCTTGTGAGAATGACTGCCGGCTTTGAAAAAGAACCAGAGGATCCCAGAGCTGGAAGGGGGTAATGGAAGCCAACTGCTTACGTGCGGCACACCTGGCAGGTCCGGATGCAAGGGGGCAGCTTTCCTGATGCTCTCCGGGGGCTCTGGACTTCAACTCATATCCACCTCAGCCAGTATTCAGGAGTGCTGGGAGAAGTGCTGCAAAGCATCTGGAGGAGGCCGCTGCTGCGGCACCTTTGGCAGAGAGCTTCCAGCATCTGGAAAGGAGACGTCGCCAGCTCCCTCCGAAGCAGCTTGCTCCATCTCTGAACAGCTCTTTGCATCTGGTACGCAGCTTGTCCTAAGTCTGGCCAAAAGCTCCACCCATTGGTTCGAACAGTGCTGCCCTCTGCTCCATCTCCTGCAGGAAAACCCTTCAGATATTAGAAGTTGGCTACCATATTGCACCAACCACCACCCTTAAACTGAAACTAAGTATGTGTATTGCTAGAAGTTCATTCACCACCTTCCCAATCTCTAGTCTTTATTGAAGGGAGAATTGGGCTAGGAAAATGCACCCTCCTTTGGCAGTTCTATTTTCACTAAATACTACTCTGCTTTCCTTGCATCTGGACGGTCCATAGAAGGAGCAGAGCTTTCACCATGGTAACCCCCCAGAGGCGGCAAAAATGACATCCGCTTCAGGCCTGGTCTGAGAGAGAGATCCGTCTCGGTGATGCCACCTGTCGGCTGCTGCGTTTTGATCCAGCCAGGCTTGGCTGCAGTTCTGGGTTTTCTCTTTTCCCCAGTATTGCAACCAAAGTAGAATCGAGCGCAGGCATTCCACGACGACACTCGGGTCGATAGTGGATGCAGTTCCTCACAAAGACACTAGAGGGCAGCAGTTAACCAGTCGGGCTCTCCCTCCCTCCCCACTCCTGCGCCCCATAATTAATACATCCAAGCCTCCGACCGCAGCAGCTGTCATGCATCCTGCGCTCAGAACAAGGCATGGAGGTGATCTGATTTTTCTGAAAGGCACGCCCTTTTCGTCTGATTGGTCGTACGCAGCTGTCTAGATCACGCACGGGGACCGAGCACAGACCCCCAGGCACCAATGGGAAGGCACCGGGTTGCGCCTTTCACGGAGTTGGCACGCACGGCCCGCCCACTGTTCCTCCGAGTGCTTGCACGAAGGCAGGGGATAACGCATCTTCGATATAAATAAGCCACACGCCCTGTTATACTTCTGCTTCTCCCACCGCCGGGCTTTCAGAGCCCAGGTTCCTCGGGCAGAGCCATCTTGAGGCTGGCCACGTGCACTCAGCTCAACCTGAAAACATTTTTCTGTGCAGGTCTTCATTCCCGCGAGGGCAGCTCGTGGCTTCACCTGCACCCACTTCCCGCAGTAGCTCACAGCAGGGCCCTCTCGCTTTCCTTTCTCGCAGAGCAGCTGCTGTGATCTGCGCTGCCCGGGGAGGTGGTGCTGCTGGGAATGAGCAGCTCTGCCGCCTGTCAGCTGCACGGGCGAACGGAGAACTCGCAGCCACCCACCGGCTCGCAAAGAGAAACACGACCAGCTGCCTGCAGAAGTGGCGGGAGGGAAGATGGAAGCACAACCGCCATCTGTACGGGGGGGGGGGGGGGGGGGGGGGGGGAAAAGAGCCCCCCCCCCCCCCGGGGGGGGGGGGGGGGGGGGAGGTTGCAGGATGCAAATGCTCCCTCCCAGTCCCAGGACGGTTTGTGTTGTTTTGAATTGCCCCCAGCTCTCCACCAAAAAGCGGCACCCGAGGTGACTAGAGAACAAGGCCTCACTTGGATTTGGTGGAGTGGAAGAAGTCCAAAGATGGCTTCTAACTGCATCGAAGTCTCCTCACTTGGCCTTACCTGTGAAAGCCCCTGGAATGCCCCCCACCCCACCCCACCCCACCCCACCCCACCCCAAACTCAAAACAGCTTACATTATTCTCCTCCTCCTGCTTTTTTCCCAACAACCACCCTGTGAGGTAGGCTGGACTGAGCGTCTGTGGCTGGCCCAAGGTCCCCCAGTTGGCTCCATGGCTGGAGCAAGGCTATAGTAACTGGACCAGAGCTAGAACAGAACTGGAGCCAGACTGGGGGGGGGGGGGCTGGAGCAGAGCTGGAGCACAGCTGGGTCTTGAACACAAGGTAACAAGAAACCCACCAGGAGACCTTCATCGCTGAGGAACCTTCTGGAGGGGAGACCCAGTTCTTCTATAGCTCTTCCCCCAGGGCTCCCAGGTGCTGCTTGTAAGAGTTCTGATAGCTGCAGCAGGCTGAGGGTCCAATCCTGCAACTACCAGGGCTGCTATTCCGCCCTTTGGCCAGAAGAGGGGGCCCTGAACCTGTCTCAAATCCTGACAGAGGCAAAGTTGTTTGTGTTTGTACTTAAAATGCTCGTCACTTTCTAAACATATATACAGGAATTAGTAACTGATACAAACACACCAAACCCTTTGGTGATGTTTTAAATGCAGAATCCTGCACCCTGGCAGTAACTGGAACCTCTCTTCTTCCCACACACGTAGAGCTTTTAAAAATAAAGGTGCACATAAAGAGAATCTGAACACCGGAGGACAAGCAATTTCTGTGATAGTAAAAATATGCTAGGACAGCTGGAAGGGAAGAGTATGGAACTGTAACTGACTAGCTGCAGCAACGAAATGCAGCATATTTCTTCACACTGCAATTGTGACACCACATAGTAAAGCCACACAGTAAAAGATCTGTTTGTTCCTGTTTCGGGCACACATGGGAAAAATGCATTGCTCAGAATTATTGCTGTATTTCAAAGTCCGCTTTCACTGCCACAGGTAAACTGGGCCAACCCTGAGCAAAAGATGGAGGCAGATGCCAGGGGGATTCCCTTGTCCTACTGCTTGAATGCCCCCCCCGGCCGCCCCCCCCCCCCCGAACAAGTGTTTTGGGAGTAGGTAGTACTTGCTTGGGTCTAGCCAGTTACTTCTCACACCATGTCCCAGTCAGACCCACAGAAAAGGTCTCTGATTAAGCCAGCAGGCAGAGTGCCCCCATGGAAGCCTTTTATGGGGCTAGTCTGCATTATTGCCCTGCATCCTAGTCCTGCAAGCACTTACGGGTCTAATCCTGCGCACACTTTCATGATAAATCGGGCTGCTTTCTCTATCAGGCCATCCATTGCATTGCTTTACAGATTGAGAGGAGGATGGAGAGAAATACAGTTGTGGTTTGGTCCGTCGCATTTTAGAGACTAACAAATGTATTATGGGACAAGCTTCTCTGGACAGGAGTCCACCTCAACTAGTGCACAAAGTGTAATCCTCAGTTTATGGGTTCTCTACTCCCTTTAAGTAGCATCCATTGCGACTCTGTCCAAAGGCGCAGAGCTGGATTAGATCCCACTGAAAGCAGGAGGCAGTGGGGCCATGAAATTCACGGGGTGATGCTGGACCAGTCACTGCCTCTTAACCTAACCTACCTCACAGGGTTGTGGTTGTGAGGATAAACACGAACCATGTAACTACCTTGAGTTCCCGAGAAGAGGAAAAAAGGAGGGATCTAAATGCAAAAACAAATTAGCACGTGGGTGTTTTCTGGCTACATGGGAAAGGGCCAACCCGCCCTCTTCTCGGGCAGTAAAAGGGCTGGTACCTATGTCGCTAACGGTTCCCCTTCCCCACCATCCCGTTTCCAATCCAGGGGAGGGCGCGCTGTTTCCTGCAACGCCTTAAGCGGGTGTCTCCAGCATCCCTGGGGATTTCCTAAGGAGGCAGCGAGCAAACAAAAGGGCAGTCTGTGGTGCCATGCCCGGAACGGTTGCCACCCGTATCTGTTGTTCTCCTTCCCAGCAGGCTGTGTCGCAATGCTGGGGAGGGCATTGCGACGCCTTGCAAAACACAAGCACCATGGGGCGCAGCTCAGCGCAGGGCCCTGGAAACAGGACTAGAACGGGGTCCGCCGGGAGGCTTTGTGCAGGCCTGCCTGGAGGGTGGGGGGAGCTCGGCTGCGGAGAAGAGGAAGCGCTTCTCTGCCCCCATGTGCAGCGGGAGCCCCCGCCCGGCCATCTTCCCGCGCTTCCGTGGCTGGAGAGCATTTCCATGCGTGGACTGCCCACTGAAGGGGGCATGGATGTCTTTAGGCAGCAACTATATGCGGCTTCTCCCCCCCCCCGCCCCCGCGTGTTCGGCTTTGGGTCCACTGCTGGAACTTGAGTATGGGGAGCGGGGCTGACTTCCCACCCCTGCGGCGCTGCGGCTTGGCTGCCGGGGGGCCTCCTCCGCTGCCAGGCGCGCCTCCTCGGATGCAAGTCCCGGCGAGCTCAAGTGCGGGAGAGGAGGCGCGCCCGCGGGCGACCCGGGGCCAGGGCCGTCTCACCCGCAAGGAGGGGCCCCTGCGGCCCCGACTGTCGGTTCTGGAAGTTTTCCCAGTGTCCAGGGGTTAACGCGCGCAGGTTGGGACGGGGCCCACGGGCCCGTGCGCCCAGGCGCCCCGCCCCGGGCTCGGCGGGTCCCCGGCTCGCCTCGCCTCCTCGCCTCGCCTCGCCACGCCACGCCACGCCACGCCCGCGCGGAGGGCGTCGCTTGCTCTCGAGTAGGCGGGCCGGGCGGCGCCCCAGGGAGGCCCTGCCGCGCGCGCCCAGTGCGCTCCCGGGCAGGCGAGCGGAGCGCGGCGCTGCAGCAAGCTGGCCGCCTCGGTGGGCGTCATGGAGGACGCGGAGAAGGGCGTCCGCCCCAAGCGCGACGGCTCCAAGATCGGAGGTGGGCGGCGCGGCGCGGCGGGCCCTCCCCCCTCCCCTGCCCCCGCGCACGAGCGTGCCCCTGAGCGAGCGCAGAGTGCCGGGGCTTTCGCTTCCGCGGGAAAGGCTGAAGGCGGGCTCAGCCTGTCTGGCAGGAGAGAGTCCGCGCCCCGGCACCTGCCTGCGCTTCGCGGAGGCTTTTCTTCCGGGCGCGGACCCGTCTTGCTCGGGAGACGCCCGTGGGGTTTTTGGAAGGCTCCCTTAAGCGAAGGCTGCTTCTGCCGTCTGGGGTGAGGTGCCGGGGGCAACGAGAGCGCTTCTGAGCGTGTGCAAAGCGTTCCTGTGCCTTTGCAAGGGGAGAGAAGCAGCCAGGGAAGGGCTCGTGGCCCTCGCTCGGCTGGGCTGAGGCACGGTTGTGTCCTCAGAAAGGCATGTGGAGAAGCGAAAAGGCAGGGCTGGGGCTTCCATTCTCTTCCCCTTGTTCCATGCTTGGTCTTTTGTGCGAGGAATCAATTTCCATGCCACCTTACGGACTAGAAACTTAAGATCAAGAATGCTCAGAATGTGAGCAGAACTTGTTGGGGATCTGTTTCAGAGGCAGTGCTTATTCCCCATCGGCGGCATGCTTTTGCTGTGACACTACATTGAACACTACAGCTTTTGAAATTAAGTCCCATCGAAAAGGAAACCCTTCGAGCGACTACCAAGAGGGATGGGGGTGCGGGCAGAGGAGCCTCGAGGGGGTAATTTGTTGACTCTGCTAAACATCGCTGCTGTTAGCAACCATCGAGGCCGTTATGTGGCTGTCAGATTAAAGGTTTAAAATGTTACTAACCAGCTTCTCCAGCGCCACGGCAATGCTTTGAGCAAATAAGGAACTACAGAAGGGATCGAGGGCAATGTGTGTTTTGCAGAGAACCGAATTTCAGTTCAGAAAATGTATTTGCACGCAGTGATCCCTGCAGAGCGCTGGACATGGATGGGATTGCAACCCTTTAGCCCCAGACAGAACAGCAAATTGTCAAGGGATGGGCTTCAAAAGGCATTTTCCTTTTGCAAAGTTCGCACAGCGGTGCAGCTTTTGGAAAGGAGAAAACCCTACCAGGAAAAGTAAGAGTGCTTCACTCACGTTGATTGCCATGAGTCACCGAAACAGCAAGGGCTGACAGATTTGCTCAGGCGCGTGAGATTATGACAACCCTCCGATTTGCAGGAAAGGCAGAAAGGGACAAAAAGGATCACGCGAAAGGGGTGCCCTTTTCGTTCTTGGCGCTTATCCATGTCTGCTCTGTGATTACAGAGAACCCTCTATGCAAAGCAACAGCTTCTTCCTTCCTGTAAAAGCTGCTTCCCGTTACCGCAACCAGCGCTGTCCAGAAATACAGTGGTGAAAAATAAGATCGATCTGGCGCATTTCCACGTGTTGCTCAGCACGCAGTTCATAAGGTGCAACACACTTGGCGGGATGAAAATCCTGCTGGGCTTTGCCAGCTTCAGTTGCAGCAACAGATGCCGACGGGCATCTCACCACGGCTCCGGCGGCACGGTTGATCAGGTGCCCTCCCAGCATTAAAAAAACTCCTGGCGCTGAACCTGGTCATATGACTGAGCACTGGGGAGCGGGAGGGGGGTTGTGAACACTTGTACTGTGCTTAGCACATACGGTTTGCATAAATAAATGCAGGTAATTCATTGCATGGCTCTAAATGGAGGAAGAAATGAGACCCCACTGGAGATCTACAAGCTTACCCACAGTTTTACCCATATATACCTACCCACCCCCTTAGATCAGCTCCCGAGGCCCTTCTATGAGAGTCACCCTCAGGGAGATGAGAGGGGTGGCGACCAGGCGAAGGGCCTTTTCCGCTGCGCCTCCCCATCTTTGGAACTCCCTCCCTAGGGAAATTCACCTGGCGCCTTTTTTATTTTCCTTTTAGCGCCTGGTGAAGACATACCCTGTTTAGGATTTTTTTTAACACTTAGCCTGAATGCTGTGGCCCATTTTATATTGCTTCCATAGATGTTTTAATTCATCATATTTTAGTGTGTTTTATTTTGTTAATATGTATTGTAAGCCACCCACAAAGGCCTCGGGAGTTATAGGCGGCCTATAAATACATGTATGAATATATGAATAAATAAATTTTGCAAGTTTTTGCTGGTCCTTATAAAAGCTCCCCTTTTTCCCCTCTTCTTTTGGACCAACATGGCTCCCTCTCTTTCTTCTACCTCCTGCTTATCCCTGGATGCCTTCAAGATACACTGCACAAGTTTGGGCTCCGTTATGTTTGCCGGGGTGGGCTATGCGGAAGGACTGTAGGAAAACATGGATGCAGGGAGAACCTACATCTGTGTACTCATCTCAGACTTTCACATGGCCCCTCAGACTCTTGGGGCTGGATCAGTCCGCTAGCTGGAAGTCTGTTTGCAAGGGAAGCGGATCCGGTATGCTGGGAGGGTGTGCTGCCTTGCCTCAAGCTAATCCACAGTCTGCTGGGGAGGAAGGCGGGCAGGACCTTTGCTCCCCCCGCAGAAAAGGTAAAAGCACCATGCAAGGAGCAGTTGCAAAGGTTAACGGTTGCTCACGGCTAGGTTTTTCCATCCAGCTGCTTCGGAGTGAGTGCGTGGGAGGCATGTGATCCGTTCTTAACGCGTCTTGCCCTGGCTTAGGTGCATGCAGGTACTCCAGGTAGGATTCCCTTTTGTGCACAACTGCCAGGTGTGCCAGAGCTCTGCCCCCCCCCACCTTTCCACTTCCCCACCTTAGTTTTAGTGCAGTCTGCCAGCCCTTAACAACACCGCAACAGTTTTCTGACTTCGGAAACTGAATTCACCTCCAACAGCAAAACACGACCGCTCTCCTTCTCCTCACTCTCAGCCACAATTATATAGTTATTCTATTTTGCTTATGCTATCAAACAACACATTGAAAACGGTAATAAGAAACCCCAAACAGTGAGTTACATGGAGTTTTTCGGAGCTAAATTTGCCGGGTATGCAGGGAAAGACCATTTGTGGTATTTTGCCTGTGAGTCTTACTGTGACCTAGAAATGTCATTCCACTAAAATGGTTTGTGAAGATTTATTTTTGTTTCTGGTTCTGCTTAGCCGTTTGTGATGGGCTGGTTGGATGCAGAAAGTAGATGCGCTTTTAGTACAGGCAGAGCTTAGGGGTTGCTTGGGGGTCCATGTCTGTGCACCTCTACAGTATGGTAGCCCTCAAAAACTCTGACCAACTTTGGTGTCCCAGGTACACCCACCGGATCCACCTCAGGTGCCACACAGGTGGCCCAGCAGTCGCTCTATGTCCCGTTAGCCTGGAACAACCCCGGCCTTCAGTGGGTGCCTTGCGGTGCAGAGAAGGCAAATCAAAGGATGAAAATAATTCACCCTGTGAATGATTACTGCTCTCCTCTTGCACTGGGCCTCTGCCGAGGCCGGGCACCTGGGTTTTGGGCACGATGCCATGGAGCCCTTCCAAGATGTAGGACTTCAACCAGTTGCGAGTTGGCTGGTGGAACCACAGCTCTTAGCGATGAGGTCAAGGCAGAGGAAGAAGCAAGTTCCGCTGCGTTTCCCTGACCGCAGTAAAATCCATGCAGGAGGGAAAGACGATGCCTTGTCATCGCAGTGCTGGGAGCTGTTCTGGCTGCAAGCATCTCAGGTATTTGTCTCTGTTTGACAGCAAACCAGAACCCGGGAATGTCTCCTGCTCTTGCAGCCATCCTGGAAGCCACTTTATATGGCTCGGGGCCAAAGGAAAAGCACCCGGCGGAAATTTAGGGGTTTCCTGGACCTTGCCACTTAGGTTGTGAAGGAGGCACCGTTTTATAAAGAAGGAGTCGTGCTGGGGAGAAAGCTGGGCGGCAGCGCTCTCCGTGATGTGATAGTAGTTCGTCTTATGGGTGGGAGTTTTCCTTCCTTCCTTGCCAGCCGAAATGGGGTTTCTGCCTAAGGTATTTAATCTGGCCTGAGTAGTGATACTACTTCAATCCAAACCTGAACTTTGTTTACGGACAATTTACAGTGGGCAATACTATATATAAATTACCATAATCCCCTTCAACTCTTTTGACATTTCATTTTTAGCAGTGTTAAAAGGGCCAAGCTTTCAGCTCTGAAAAGATTCAGCATTTTTTTTTAATTATCACCCTATTTAAATCCAGTACAGTTTTAAACAATTCTTCCTGAACACAGGGGCTTGAAACAGATGTGTTTTTACAAGTGCTTGGATAATCTTATAGTTTGTTTTCCCTCTAATGCTAAACATTTTCTGCCTCATTGTAACTTGTGTGTTATGTGCAATGTGTTAATTTACAAGGGCTAGAATTGCCACACTTCATGCCTGGTATGGGAAGGAAGGAAGTTTCTAGTTTCTAGCTTGGGAAGGAAGTTTCTAGTCCTGTTAAAATCAGTACGGGAACTGTCAGTTTAAAGTCGATTATTAATTAAATTATTAGATTTATATCCTCCTGCTCCCAATTTTATCCCTACAACAAGAACCCTCACCAATTTGTACTGGGCTGAAAATGTCTCCGTTCTTATCCTTTCACACTCTGTACAGCCAAAATATCCATTTTACCAGAACTCATTAGTATGCGGCTATGCCCCCGCTCCTTGGAAGTTAGTGATTTCTCCATGGATCTGGGCCCTGCACAGTAAATATTCCCCAAGCAGATCCATTCTGTCTGACTAAAGAGACCTTCTCTTTGTAAATAGCAGCTTTTTGCTTCTAGCAAATTGTTTGCCAATTCTGTAACCCCTGCAAATGAGAAACAGGACAGCCAAAAAAGCAATCTATTTGAGGCATTTCCTCATGTTTCTTGGGGTGTAATAAATAACCCGCAACAAGCTTGAATTAAATTCCAGCTCAGTTTTGTCATCTTAATCTGTAGTAACGTTTCCTCCTGTGTTTCCCCACTGCTCTGGGAACAAAAGCCATGGCACGGTTGATAGTTTGCCCTTCCTTCCAACCTTAGAAAACTCCTGGCTCTGAAACTAGTGATACCGATCTCTCTAGGATGAACACTTGGGAACAGAGTGTTTTAAATATTTTTGTACAGTGTCTTGCAGTTATTAGACATTCTGTATAAATAACAAATGGAGATAACACTTGATGATGCGTCTCTAAGCATAATTTTAAAAATAATCCCCAAACCTGTGATTATCTGTGCAGCTTGCAATGATCAAAGTGAAGCTATCATCCACACAAGCCTCATAAAATGCAGGTGTTCAAGTGCACAAATACGGTTGTTAACCATGGTTAAGGAAAACAAACCACGGATAAGCGCTCAGAAATGCAGGCAGGACCCCTGGCTGGGGCATGCGAGGACTTGTGGCCCTGTGTGATGTCTAAAGCTGTGCCCTTGGTCACTGTTATTACCACTTATGTCAAAAGCTAACCCGATTCTACAAACACTCATCTGTATGTGGTTAAAACATTGCAACTCACCGAACACAAGAGGGGGAGATCAGCGGATTTGGGAACACCAAGGTCTGCAGAAGTCCAAAAACCTTCAGGGGGGAAAAAGGTAGGTAGATTAAAAAAACAGCACCTGATGGAGTATTGTTCATGCTCATTTAATCTGTGTGCCAGGCAGGAAAGGAAGGGAATCAATGGAGTTTCTCGGGATGCCAATTTCAGCAGTTTAAATTGAAACTGTTTGGCAACCTTCAAACAGTTGCAGTCCTGACATATTGTACAGAACCCAAAATAGCCACATGGAGCTCTCCGTAATTTTTATAAGCTTTCTGGTATGGTTGATATTTTGCCCTCCCTTTCTCAGTCAGAGAAGCCACTGCATTTCAAAGACAATCCGCTCACCCTCTCGGCATATCTGTGGGTCAAGAGCTTAGCTGCCACATATTCAAGACAAACAGAGAAGAAAAGTGTTGCGCCACAGAATTTGTTCCCACAAGACGTGGAAGTGGTCGTTAGCCTTAGAGAGAGAGAAATGAATCCAGAGTTGGGAGGAAGAAGCAGCTGAACAGCTCCGGTCATTTCCATCCAGATGCCATTTGCCCCAACTCCTTTGGATTCCCGGGAGCACAGATAAAATTATTTTTGTGTGCAATTCCAGGCAGAATGCATCTTCTGGAAAACAGATATGCCAAGCCCCTGAGATTTCCTTAAGAGGTCTGTGTACATTCTTGAAAATGAACTCATTGTGCTCTTGGCCACTGGAAGACGCTTTTCTTCCTTGTGGGAGGAGAGTATAGTAATAAGCAGATCCTTGTAACCTTCCTTCTGCAAGCCTTAAGGTTGTCTGTGCGTTCTTGCATTAGCCCCTTGCAAAAATATTGGACTACAAGTATTATCAACCCCAGCCATCTGGGATGATGGGAACTGTAGTGTGAGGCACCTGGAGGGACACTAGGTTGGGTAACAGTTGAACCCTTTTCCGTTTGGGGAGCCAAGATACACATACGTTTCCCAACGCTGTCAGAGACCAAACGGCCTGCTGAATTAGGTAAGAGGGCTGCCGTTTCTGATGTGAAACATACACAGGTAATAATCCGGGGCATTTTGCTCCCTTGTTTTCTCTGTTTCCAGAGGGATCTTTCACTGGCCTTGGCCTGTGCGGCTGGATCCTGGTCATATTTTCATTCCTCTTAGTCACTGTGACTTTCCCCTTATCCGTCTGGCTGTGCATAAAGGTAAACAAAACCCTTACCTGGAAGAGGTTCAGCCCATAAAATCCCATGTCAGGTCTCGGTGTGGGAGCTTTCTTTGGCCAGGCACCCTTGCTCAGGTGCCGATGCAGGGGGGCGGCGGGTGGAGAGGGGTGACAAGCTGTGTCCCCCCACCCCAGCTGGAGGGTGTCTCTAGACACTGGGGCTAGCCCAGCCCCTTTGCCTGCCCACCGAGCGGCACGCTGCCCCCCATTCCCCCGGACTGTCCAAAGCAAGGCTCCTGGCTTGTTGCTGGCTTAAGAAACTGCAGAGGAGAGGTGGAACGGCTTGGCCTTCTCTGCGCCCAGCGTGGAAGGCGATCAGGCTGCCCGAGGCGGGAAGCCGCTGGCTGGTGCCCAGCGCAGAAGGGGCAAGAGCGGCGGGACCCCCCTCGCCAGCTCTGCCTGTCCCCCGCAGCTAAGAAACCGTTTGCTGGCAGTCGGATGTGTGGGCATATTTTTCCAGGGTGCTGTGTTGGGCCATGGCTCACGGAGGAGCGCCTGCCAGTTGAGCAGATAGAAGAGGGGGTTGGTCTATTTGTCCATCTAAGCTGGTGTGCCTGCTCTAACTGGCAGCTCAGCAGAAAAGCCCCCTTCCTTCCCACCACCGCTTTTTTTAAGCTCCAGAGTTCAGGATTGAACTGGAGACGACTTGAGCCCTCAGCGTGAGCTGCAAGAAATAGATAAGCGAAATCATCTTTTACTGCTATTCCATGAAAAGGGACCGGGAATGGCGAAATGCGTGACCTTCTGCATTGCTGTGCCATCCCGTGCTCTGAAATTAGTGCCTTGTTCACATCCAGTTCCCCTTCTTCTCGCCTCCACCCACCTTGGTGTCGCTTCCTGCATGTGCTAGGAACGGATGCTGCACAATTAGCACAAACCAGGAGGGGGTGTGCAGGACGGGGGAGGGGTGCACGGCTGGAAAAAGGACCGGCAATTTTCTTTTCCGTTACAGATCGTCAAGGAATACGAGCGAGCCATCATCTTCCGGCTGGGGCGCATCCTCAAAGGAGGTGCGAAGGGGCCCGGTGAGTGCTTCTGCGCCCTGGTCCCTTATTTTGCAGAATGTTTGTGCAGAGTTATGCTGTTGAAATCTCGGGCATGTTTGCATTTACTGTGAAACCAAGGGGGCTTGGCTGTCGTGCAAACAGACCCATGGTGAGTGCAAACAGTCAGCCGATCCCGGGTGCTTGGCCTCTCCGCCAAATTCCCCTCTTGTCGGCGTTTGCAATCCCTGCATGGGCAGGCACCGCCTTGGCGTAGCTGCCAGTGCCAGACTAGAAATGAAAAACCCACACTGTGCACACAGGAATGTGTGAGCAAAGGTAAATGCACTGGTCCACATGGATGTCAGTCCTCTGAGGGGAAGCATCCTTGACCCAGCTTGAACAGGCTCCAAAGCCATCCTTTCCGGCTCCTATCGCCTGCTCCCGGAAGGGGGTGCGAGGGGGTGTTTATGAGGGATGGGCACAAGCCTCCCACCAACGTTCTAAGCTTTTCTCTCTCCCACTTTAATCCCCCTCAGGGAGCCAATTTTACACTTTGTCCTGAGCCTCTAGGGATGCAAGAAAATGCAGTGACCGTTAGGGAAATCAGTCTGGGATGGCCCGGCATGGCAACCCGCAGAAGGCAGCAGCAACCTGCCACGGGTAACCGTGCTGAGTGAAGTCCAGCTTGGACCGTGTTCTATCAGAGCATCGTCCAACTGGGGCCGTGTTCTCTCTGAGCAAGCTTGGGATTTTACTTATTTATTTAAAACTTTGATATGCTGTCCCTTATGCACAGCATCTCAGGATGGCTTACAATCATTAAAACAAAAATGCAATAAAACCACCATATCAACATAATAAATACAGATAACCAGGAAATATAAATTAAATAAAAAGCGACTGTTGAACATCAAAATATTAGTTTTTAAAACAACAGTTAAATAGAAAGGTGTTGACCGAAAAGAGTATCAACCCCGTGCCAGGTGCACACCTCTAGGAAGCACGTTCCACCTGCCGGACTGCCTAAATAGGCTTGCTCGGATGGGACACCATTTTCAGAGTCCCGTCTCTGCAAAAGTGTCGGGTGGACTCCATCAGCTGCCGATGAACCGCAAAAGGCCTGGCCTGGCCTTCCTGGGTACCTTGCACAGCGGCCTGGAGGGTCAAACCAGCTGATTCCACAGCTCAGGGGGGAGAGTTTGTCACCTGCTCGGCTAAAGGCACTGCTACGGCTGCCTGAAAAGAGGGCACACTGCCAAGAGACCACCCTCTGGGAATGGGCGGGATAAAGATAAACTTCGCCACCTCTCCCCAGCCAATGCAGAGCCAGACACGTGGCGCTCTCCCCACCTGTCCTTCCTCCCTGGAACCCCATCTCTTTACCCCTCTCCCCCACTGCGTTGGCAACAAGACTGGAGACGTTAAGAGTGTCAGGCTGGGACCCGGCAGATCCAGGTTCTAGTCGTCACCCCAAAGCTCGCTGGGTCACCTCGGGGCCGTCACAGCTTTTCAGCCTAACCTAGAGTCGCATGGAGAGTTGGGGTGCCATGCAGGTCCCCGGGGGGTCCCCAAGAGAGGCAAAAAGGCAGGTGTTCAATATAATATTCAATCAACAGAGGTAAATAAGAACAAGGTTCTAGTCCTCAATTGGCCACGAAACTCACTGGGGTGGCATCTCAGCCTAAGCTACCTCGTGGGGTTGTTGTGAAGGTAAAATGGAGAAGAGGAGGATTATGCAGACTGCACTGGGCTCCTTGCAGGAAGAAATGAGGATCCAAACATAACCCACAAAATAAATGCTCAGCACACCAACACCCCTCTCTTGAAAGCGGCTGAATTTGACTCTTGCCCTTCCGTTTTCTGCAGGCCTCTTTTTCGTCCTGCCCTGCACAGATACCATTATCAAAGTGGACATGAGGACCATCTCGTTCGACATCCCGCCGCAAGAAGTAAGAGCTCCCCTCCCCTGGCCCCCTTCCCTGCCTTTCGCCTGCTGGATATAAATACACTCGGCCAGCATCGGCTGCCCCCTTTCATGGCCTCACATCCCGGGATGCTGCAGCTGCTGCGGCCTTGCCACAAAGGACTGAGCTACGGACCGGTGCCAGTCTTGCCTCTGGCATCAGCTCGTGGGAAGGTCTCGGGCACCTGCCGTGGCTCAGTCCCTCCTCTGTGAGATGGGGATGATGGACACAGGGAGAGCGGCCTGCCGTACCGGCTGGTGGTTAGATGCCTGAGCAAGTGAGCATGAAGCGAGGGGAGAGCGCGACCCCGTGGCGACAGGGGTCCCTTGTCCCCCGAGTCACTTCTCTGCTTGCCGTCACTGCAGAGAGGGCTCTCCAGGGGTGGGTCTACTCGCGTGCCGCATTCCACTAGAAGTTCAGCTGGACGCCATCAAGCCCAGATGCCTCTGCTGGAAAAGTCCACCTCCCAGCTTTGTCAGGGCTCGTCCTTCACAAGGCGCCGCGATGCTTGGCTTTGCTGCTCTTTTGCACCTCTCCTTTCTCAGGGCGCAGGGAAAGCAGGGCAGAAAGACAGCCCTGGGCACCTCTGCTCTGCGGCACAGTTTCCCTTGCTGCGCTTTGCCGTAGGTCGTGTAACTCCATGTTTGCTAGTCGACTGCCTGGGCATTGTTGCAGAACTGGGCCGAGGATAATGGGTCCATTATTAGAAGCCTGATTACGAAGCATTGTGTATTTGTTGATGCAAATTTCCTGCTTCCTGGTTGCCTCCGTCCCCCACCTTTCCACCTGGCACTTCAGAGTTTTTTCCCAGGTCAGACGGCCCTGTGGGTTGGGCTTTTTTGTAAGCAACTGTGCATTTCCCTTTGAGAAACTATCCATGGGGTTGTAGGAGGATTTTTGTTTCCCATCTTCTGCCTCGGTCCAAAGCTGCATCTTTTCGCAAGATAGCTGCAAGCCACTGGAAAATCCTGGAGTGAAATCGTAGTATGTTACTGTCCTGTGGGTGATCATCTACAAAGAGTTCCCTCCCAGAGGCACAACCTGCTTGGAATATTTTCCTGCTTGAGCCTGCGGAAAACTGAAGATGTGCTTCTTGCCCTTGAAGCCCCTAAATCGCCTGGGGACTTGTCTACCTTTAGAGCGGCTTTGCTTGAGAAATACCTGTGGTCTCACTCTGCGCTCCCCTGCGAACTCAAGCACAATGCATGGTTGCAAGGTAGAAGCAGAGCATTTCCTAAAGTGACCCTTCACCAACAGAGCTCTCTTCCTACAAAGACTCACCTAGCATCCTTCGTTCCATGTTGTTGGCGTCTGGCACAGAACTGGCTGCTTCATGGATCCCTGGGGGCTCCCTGGATGAGCTGGTGTTTCTTTTCAAGTATGCTGTATAAAGGTTAGAATAATAGCTCTCGCAAGGCATATAACCCTATAGATCCAACAGGAAAAAGGCACGAAGAACAACTGGGAAAACAAGCTAATGCTTCCATAAGCAAAAAAGTAGCATGTAATTTTAAAGAAAATCCCTGAAAATAGAAACCACCATTCCAGGGCTGCTCAAGAAAGTGGAAGGCAATGGTTTCTACACAACCCCATGGCTGATTTTGCCGGTAGCGTTGGTGATTACGTGGTGTAGAAATACAATGACTATTAACGATAGTGCTAATCGGCGTCGTGCAGCTTTTGCACTTTCGAGGGGCTTTCAAACCCGAAGAAGCTTCCAAAATGACAACAGTAGAAAAACGGATTTTTAAACATGTTGCATCTTCAGGCAAGATTGCCAAAATGCTGAAATATCTTCCTACAACTGCACTGAAATCTTCAGAAGGCCTGGGAAAATAAAAAGACCCTGGCCTGGAGCTGATGGGAGAAGCTTCTGCCGTCAAGAGAGGTCGTTTCCTCAGCTGCCACTTCTCTGGTGGACACTGGATATGCAGATCATAAAACACAGGAAGAGCCACATGAAAAGAGTTGGACCTTGTTCCGATCTCCTGTTGCGGATGCTTTGTATCAGGCACTTTATAATAGACTCCCCAGGTTGAAAGCCCTGTCAGAGCTGGCCATATTGAGCAATGGTGATTCACACTGGTGAGTACTGGGAGCTGTCGTTCCAAAAACGGTGAGGACTAGTAAGTTATCTGCAAGGCTTACTAGCCCTTGCATTAGCCGGATAGTCCCTTGCAGGGAAGGCATGGCGGAGTTTGTATACCATGGAAACGAGCTGGCAGAATATGGGCTGTGATTACCTAATTCGTATTCCTGAAATAGAAACAACGGTGAGGTTGGCTGTAATTGCATAATACCGAGTTTTATTAGGGTTTGATTCTAAATAGGATTAAAGAAGTCTAGCCATGCATGTTGCTTTCCAGCGACGCTGCTTCTGTGCACACCGTGCTATTGGAGAAAGAGTGGCAGCAGTCCACCGGGGGGGGGGGGGGGGGGGCCTTTCTTTCACTCAGGGTTTCCCAAAATAATATGGAATTCTGTCCCTCTGAAATGTCCGGAGCCTTTTTTACGTAGCGAGAGGCTGTTCTTTTCAGAACAGAGTCAAAACATGCCTTTTTCTTCTTCCCGACATGGTCTTTTTTCACTCTCTCGGTTTAGTTTCTAATCCACAGTTACAAATGTTTCCTTCTCTTCCTGTGTCGCGAAGCCATTAGATCGTGAGCTTGCAGGCTCAGAAAAGCCTTGCTTGTCTACAGCACAGGCTGTTGGCTTTCTGGCTGCCTTGCTCTCCAGCCCACTTCCTTCGAAACTCCTTGCAGATTCCTCAAAGAAATGGCAGGCAGGTTTTGTCCTAAGACAGCATACGGTCTGCTGCTGATCCTGCCCTGCGAGGTCCAGCCACGCAGAAACAGCTGGGCGGGCCTGAGGGACGCCAGAGACTCGGCCACGCTCCACACGACCTGAGCCCCATGTTCCAGGGGCGGGTGGACGTTTGACTTGTCAGACCTGCCGTCCTTCGGCTTGATCTCTTGTGTTTTTTAATGTTTTCATGTCTCGGTTAGCCTGAGTTAATGCTGTGCCTTTAAGAAAATTCTGAGTCAAGGAACTCGATTTCAGTATTTGAACTTGAGTGACCGCAGAGGCTGTTTCAAAAAAATCCACTCTGGCTAACCCAAGCTTTCTTCCTTTAGCAGCCGTAATATTGTGTGTGTGTGTGTGTGTGTGTGTTGAGGGGGGTGTTTGTTGCTGCTGCTGCTAATCCTAAAAACTGGGCGTGAGAAATCTTTGCCAGGAAGGGCTTGGCCATGTCCGTTTCCCACATCCCTGGATCTGCTCCCCTAAGTTACAATTCACTGGTGCCAAGCAGAAGACTTCCCTCAGCTTCGCCGTTTTCGGGGGTGATTGCTGCAGAGGTCGGAAGCATTAACCTCCTTCTCCCCCTGTGCTCTGCACCCCCAATCCGCCCTCCACCTGGTTATTAATCTTAGAAAAACCCCTCCCATTGCAGCCAAAGGGAGCTTAATTCTGCAGGGTGGGAGCAGCAACCCTCCAGGAGGAATTGGGGTGGGAGGGTGTTTGGGGACAGGAAGGAGACGGGGTCAAGCGCCTTCTCCCCTCCTAAAAGGTTAGGCAGTCTGGATAGGAGCTCTTTCTGCAGGCACCCGAAGTGTGTGCTGGACGTGTGTGTGTGTGTGTGTGTGTGTGTGTGTGTGATAGTCTTTGCCCCATCCTGCCTCACACTTGCTGTGGTGAGCCAAGGGGGTCTTCCCAGCCTGGTTGCTTGTGTCTTCCTCTCAGCGCCTGGATTTGGAGGAAAGTCATCAATCCCTGCCATGTGGAGAGACAAAATGGGGATCCTTCCACTCCTTTCCTGCCCCTTCCACCGTCTCCTTCTTGGCATCCTCTGTGACCTCCATGCTGCCCAGATCCAGCCCCACCTTCCCCCACCCCAAGACCTGCCTGTGCCCTTCTTCCAGCCACCTGCTCATCTTTCCTTCCTGCTTGTTCCAGCCTCGTAGCACCCTCTCCATGCTCAGAACAGCCTCTCACCCAAGCAGGCTTCCCACCAAACCCCCGCCCGCCCCCCATTCAGCTCCCCACAGCCTCCCTGGAAAACCTTGCAGAGCACCTGCTCTCGGCTACCTGCCCCTTCCTTCAGCTCCCTCCTCCAGACCCACACAGCTGGCTGAACCCCAATCCACTCAGGTAAAGAAGCAAAGATTCGCATCTCATTGCCTGACTGGTATTCATATTCATCCCTTACTATCCGGGCTTCTCCCCGCTCTTTTTCTTTTGCCTTCCCTTCCCACTCGGAGAAAAGAGCAAAGAAAGCCAATTCACGGGGCTTAGAGAGCCAGGATCCCTTTCTGGCCACGGGGCCGCCTGCATGGCTTGGCCAGTCACTATTCAACTTTCAGCTTAATGAAATCTAACAAGAATGTTCCGGAGGGAAGGCAGGTGCACTGTGCAGAGACGGACTCCCAGAGCACCTTGGAACGAGGTGGGGATGCAGCTGTGGTTCCTTTGTACAGTCAAATGCAGAGTTTTGGTTCCTGGGGAAGAGATCTGCTTTGTTTCTGTGAGCTTCCGCAAATTACCTTTGCACCCACCGCTCTTAAAAGTCACTCCTCTTGCTGAGGAGCTATTCCAAAGATGGTAGCCTCCTGGATGTTCGGGTGCCCTTGGAAAGCACCCAGCAATTAGTACTGCCAGGGTGCTTGCTGTCACCCATTCCTCAAAGGGGTTACACAGCTGCACCTGCGAATGACACGCAGTCAGGCATGCTGGATTTAGAAATGCTCTTGCTAAACCTGCCGACTCTTCTCCAGAGTTGAGCTCTGCAGAAAACAAAAAATTGCTCTGGAGAAAGAGCAAATCTGTTCTTTGAGTTTGCGACAGATGCAGGCTGTGTGTCTTGCTGATGGGCTTCCCCGCAAACTTTCAGGTGTCGTAATGGTTATACTGCATTTTATGCCAAAGTGCTGCATGAAAAGTACAGAAAACCCACAAAATCAAATGCTGCCTAACTACGATCGTCATGCTAACAACCTAATTCCAACTTTGTGGTTCCGTAAACAAAAGTGATGGAAGGCTTAACCAATAAACAACTTAATAGAATCATAGAATAGCAGAGTTGGAAGGGGCCATGGAGGCCATCCAGTCCAACCCCCTGCTGGTGCAGGACACCAAGTCACACCATCCCACAGGTGGCTACCCAGTTTCACTTTGAATGCCTCCAGTGTGGGAGAGCCCCCCGCCCACCTCTCCGGGCAGCTGGTCCCACTGTCATGTTGCTCTGACCATGAGGAAGCTTTTCCTGATGTCCAGCCTGAATCTGGGTTGCCACAACTTGACTTGATTATTTTGTGTCCGGCATTCTGGTAGCGGGGAGAAGAGATCTTGACCTTCCCCTTTGTGACAGCCTTTGAGGTACTTCTAGAAGGATCCCATGTCCCCCCTCAGTCTTCTCTTCTCAAGGCTGAACATGCCCAGTTCTCTCAGTCTCCTCACAGGGCAGTGTTTCCAAGCCCTGGGTCATTTTTGTTGCCTTCCTCTGGACGCTTTCTAATTTTTCTGCATCCTTCTTAAATCCTGGTGCCCAGAACTAGACACAGTATTCCTGATGAAGTCTGAACTTAAGGATAAATCTTGCATAAAACCCTTATAAACACACAAATCATGAACACAGTGTACTTCACATAAACAATTAATCCCTTTACTCAAACAGAAAAGATTTTGGGCTCTGCTTAGACTCTTCAGACGTCTCCCCCAGGCACACTGCAGGTGCAAAAGCTAGTTTCTCTTTGCTAATGCATGCCTAGGTGGTAATGCAAAAGCGGATTCCTCGCTCAGGACCAGCCACTTGCGCTGTGCCAGTTGTGGGTAAGCAAAAGCTGGCTTCCTTCTTTCTTTCTGTAATTCATCCGGGTTGATTTTGTTCTCCTCGCACTTCTGTTTCTACCCTAGATTCTTACCAAAGATTCAGTGACAGTTAATGTGGACGGCGTGGTTTACTACCGAGTTCAAAACGCCACCCTTGCGGTCGCAAACATCACCAATGCCGACTCGGCCACTCGGCTCCTGGCTCAGACCACCCTGAGGAACGTTCTGGGAACCAAGAACCTCTCCCAGATCCTCTCTGACCGAGAAGAGATTGCGCACAGCATGCAGGTACGAGCTGCGCATTCGGACTGGATTTCCTGGCGGGTTCAGAGCCGTACAGGAACTGAAAACTGAGCATTTGTCCTGGAGAATGGGGCTAACTGTTTACAGTATTGAAACCAGTGCAAACGGAAGGCAAGCAAAGCACTGCAGAGCATGCCATGGTGGGGGGTTTTTTTCTGGTTTTAAAATCCTCTCAGCATCCCTTGTAACTTGGGCAAGAAGTGTTTTGCTGTAAAGTTTCATTTGCAAACAAAAACATGCTTAGAAGCTAAGCCTTGCAGTCTTTCTGTAGAGAGAATGTTTTAGTTGCGACTGTGTTCTTTTAACCATGGAAACATTCCATTCGGTCACAAGTGCAGGATCCACGATCTCAACAATCTTGATTCTTTTTAATTCAAAGAAAGCAAGTATCTAGTCCTCAGGGGTATAAAGGCAGCCTTGAAAGGGAGTGGGCAATTCCTGATGCTGAAGGCTCGAAACAGGAAGGGTGTGTGTGTTCACAGATTCTGAACAGGGACCTCCATTGGTTCAATGCAACAAACAACTCAGTAAAGCTTAAAAGTGACAAGTAAAGGTATTTAAATATGTGAGCAACAGCCAGCATGAAAGCAGCTTTAAGCACCCCGTTTACTGTTTCAGCCAGGTCTTGTTTTACTCTGCCAGCTCTGCGACTTCCTGCACAATACCATGATCTGCCTTGACATTCCTGCACGTTTTTTAACAGGCCACGCTGGATGATGCCACAGACGAGTGGGGAATAAAAGTGGAGCGCGTGGAGATCAAAGACGTGAAATTGCCCATCCAACTCCAGAGGGCCATGGCGGCGGAAGCCGAAGCCGCCCGCGAGGCGAGAGCAAAGGTAGGAAGGATCTGCCAGTGCAGCTTGGCCTGCAGCCGGTGAAAAAACCAGAAGTTGCTTAGAGCAGGGCTGCAATTGGTGAAGTGGTGGGACAGCCCCAGCCAGCAGAGCTCGCAGCAAGGGACCCTGGGATTTGTAGTCCAACAGCATTGTGGGAGGGCCACAAGCGGGCCGGTCCCGATCTAGAAGCTGAAGGAAGCCAAGATCGATCAACCTTTCCGGGCTGTTGGCCACCGGGGCGCAGAGCTGTCTGGGTTCAAGATACGCAACTTCTTCACTTTCTGGCTCCTGCCGGATCGGTTTGAAAGGAGTGGCACCATTTTCTAAAAATGCCACGAATGCCTAGTTTTCCTAGGTAACCGTATGTTCCAAAGTCTCCGATCCCCCTTCCTCTTAAACACTCACCAGTCAGCAGCAGCACAGGCATAGGGGAGAGGGAAAGAGGAGAACCCCTGCGCTCCCCCCTCTTCCTCCAGCGGCTCTCCCACATCAAAGGCCTGTTGGCCCACGGCAGATGCTTTCTGCAAGCGATGTGCGAATCAGGACCGAGAGGGAGCGATGCTGACATCTTCTCTCGCTGTCATCGTCGTCAGCCGTTCGGCAAGCCCGACCCTTGGCCACCCCATGGATCGCTGCTCTCCAAGCCCCTCTGTCTCGCACGGCTTCCTTCAAGACCGCCACGTCTTTGAGATGTCCAGCCAATGGGTGCGGGGGCAGCCCCTTCTTTTTCCACTGGTCACTCCCAGCAGGACTGGCGTCGGCGCTCATGACATGGCCAAAGCATGGCAGCCTTTGTTTGGCCATCTGGCGTCAAGTGAGACTTTGGGTGAGGCTCACTCGAAGGGCTTCTTTGTTTGCGATGTTTCGTCTCCAGCACCACAATTCCAAAGCACCCACCCTTCCTCTGGGTGCCTTTTCCAGAGCCCAAGTTTCACAGGCACACTTGGCAATCGGAAAAATTATGGTGTCGCTGCCTTCTCTAGAAGTTTGCCAAGGCTCATTTCACGCTCACTTTAATCCAGAAGCCTGCAGATTCCTTTAGCCCAGGGGCTGGCAACCCTTAACCCTCAAAGAGCCATTTGGACCCGTTTCCCGCACAAAAGAAAACACCGGGAGCCGCAAAACCCTTTTGACATCTAAAATGAAGATAACACGGCATATATCGTTTTTTACCTTTATGCTATGTATATCTTCATTATGATTTAGCTGCAGCTCTTGTTCAGTCACTAAAAAGTTATTTTTAATCGTACGTTATAACCTAGTAGGACTCCTTTCATATATTTTGAATAGGAGAACAGCTTCCTGAAGAGTCAAAGTCAGTGCTAAAGGGCTGCATGCGTTAAACAGCAAACCCCATAAGTTCGTCAGCAGTAAAAGCAAATGAATCTACCCATGTATCATTAAACAGTTTGGTTTTCTTCAGAAACTTTTCTTCGATTTATCCATGGTTGGCCTACGGGGTTGGGGGAGGGGGTGGAAAGCTCAGTAAATCTCAGATCTCAGATATAGGTGTGTTTAGTGACTGATTAGCAGATAAACAGTCAAGTGCTGTGAATTGTGACAGGTCCTAAGTGCAGCTTTTAACATTCAGAGGAAGGAGATGACATTGGGACAAAGAGAATCTTTTCAGCAGCTTTGTTTCTTTGTTGGTGTAACATGAGAGCCTGCAGGAAGCTTGTTTAGCAGAGGAATGTAGCGATTTAACTAACTAGCTGATCGACTTAACCAGCTAGCCCTTGGCACAGATCAGTGGCTGTGCCGGTGGTGCGTGGGTGTTTTGAGCGACGAGCCGTGGCAGGGGGATTCAAGAGCCACGTGCGGCTCCGGAGCAGCGGGTTGCCGACCCTGGGCTAGGCCCTCTTTGGGGGCTGGCATTTGGATTCCTTGCCACTGCATGCAAGCTGGCTTTGCTGGCATCGTTGTGACTGGGAAGTCTCTGAACGGCTTTCTGGAACCTTGCAGGTCATTGCAGCCGAGGGCGAAATGAACGCTTCCAGGGCGCTGAAGGAAGCCTCCCTCGTCATCACGGAGTCCCCGGCCGCGCTGCAGCTGCGCTACCTCCAGACCCTGACCACCATCGCTGCCGAGAAGAACTCCACCATCGTCTTCCCGCTGCCCATTGACTTGCTGCAAGGCATCATGGGAGCAAAGCACTAAGGCCCGAGGCGCTGCTGATGCAGGAAAGGAGGGCCCTCTGTTGGGGGCCAGACTGCTGAGAAGACCGAGGCGGTGTCTGAGAGGAGCGGCTCGTTTCTGCATCACGTCTACGCTGAGTCTTGGAATGGCCAGAAGCTCGCATCCTTTTTGCTGTTCCTTGGAACAAATTTTACATCTCTGTTCTTTCTTACTCTCTGTCCTGTCCCCTTTCCTCTGGGGATATGGGTTTGGGGTGCCCATATCTCCCAGAAAAAAAGGAGAAAGTTAGAAAGCTTCTAAAAGCAAGAGGTTGCCTTTTTTAAAAATGTTCTTCTCTCTTGCGAAACAGCTTCTCATCAGAGAACCAAAAGTGGAATTTTCCACGGCTGCCTTGTTGCAACAGAAGGGCTGGAATGAAAACAGTGTAGTTATGGAGACGATCAGCTTGTAGCTACACTGTTCAGTTTATTTTTTTCTTTTACAGGTGCATTGTCTTGTGTGCAAACTAACACAATGACTTTTCCAAGCACTTCTGCAAAAAGGCTTCTATCTCTGCCTTTGATTTCTGCATTTGTTGTTAAAACTAAGTCATGCCTTTATAATTAAAGAAACGCTTATTTTTAGATGTCTACCCATATTCTGGTTTTTTCGCTTTTTATTAAAAAAAATTGATCAACAGAAAGTTGAAAATTCCTGTTGCTAGAAATCCAGTGGTGCCTTCCGAGTGTTAATAATGCTTAGTTTTGTGTTTTGTTTTTCCTCTTGAAGATTCGGCAGAATGTCTCGTTTAGATCTGTGCCGTCAGCTGCAGAATAAATGTTCTCAGCCTTTTGCTCCAAGCCGCCTCGTTCAGCATTCCATTTCCCTCCATGGCCAACCGGCTTCCCCAGTGGGAAGCCCAGTAGGAAGTCACCAGAGTGGCAGGACTCTCCCATGTTCCCCAGCAACTGGTGTACAGAGGCATCCTGCCTGACCCTGGAGGCAGCATACACCCACCAAAACCAGTAGCCAGTGGCAGCCTTCTCTAGGAATTTGCCCGATCCCCCTTCAAAGCCAACCAAATGGTTACTTGAAGGACTGCCTTTTCCGATATATTCCTACCCATCCATTGAGATCTGGGAATGAGGTCCTTCTGAGAGAGCCATCCCTAAACGAGATGCCATTTAGAAGGGCCTTCTCGGTGATGGCCCCCAACCTTTGGAATGGGCTTCTTAAAGAGGTCCGCCTGGCGCCATCTCTACTTTCATTTCCGCACTGGGCAAAGACCATCCTCTTTCGCAGATTCTACAAAACCTGAATCTAAAAACGGATTATAAGTGCTCACTCCGCTCCAACAGATCTCTTCCCCTGAACTTGTACTCTTTGCTGTATATTGCTAGCCACTTAGAGAGTCCTGTCAGGCGACTGAGTGACATATACATTTGAAAATACATAAGTTAAATAAATAAATAAATGCTGGTCAACACGACAGGAATCAGTTCTATCACTGCGTGAAGAGGTTCATCATACTGAGTCTTGTGAGCTTTGTATCTGCTCTGATTTGGAATATGGGATAATTTGTACCATACAGTGCTGATGTGAACTGTAAACTATTATACGTATTAGTTTTGTGTGCATTAGTGTGCATTAGATAGCTGGGAGTGGAGCAGCTAGGAAAAAGGCAAGAGCCCTGCCGGGGGTGGGAAAAGGGCTGATGCCTGAAACATTGATATGTGTCCAGAAAGCAGTGTCCCTGTGTACTGTCCCAGCTGTGCGCTCCCGGGACCCCTCAGCCTTGCCTCGCCCGGTGCTCCCGTGCAAGATTAAAGGATAGGACTGACGGTCACCACCCGCTTTGAAAAAGAAAACTGTTAGAGGACCATCCACCAAAAGTGCTTTTAATGTTCCGTGTGAAAATACTGTCTGTAGATGGATGACAGTTCTGAAAGATGTCCTTGTTTACATGCTTGCACTCATAATAAATGCTCCCCCCCTTTTTTCCAGCTGCTCTTGTTTTTGAGATTTCTCCTTCTTTGGTTAGAGATCCTCTACAGGGTCATCACTGTGTCCCATCCACGTTTTTCCTCCACGGAAAAGCATGAAATCCACATTTGAATAAGTGGGAGGCAATGAAAAATGAAGCTGCAGGTAAAAAGCAGCAGGACTGGCATCTATTATGGTCAGATGTCCTCTTGTTCTGCTCCTATCCCATCCTTTACTTATGGAAGAAGCTACTGTTTGTCTATGCCAGTAACAGAAAGTCTGCTGAAAAGAATTCTGAACAGTTTAATTTGGTTGCTTTCCGCATCATTCCATTTCTCTTCCAAGATCCATAAGCTTGCTATGTGAATATGTCTTTTGTAAGGCATCTCTTCCTTGAACAGCTAATGGAAAACACAAACTATATGCTGCAGTTCCTGAAATATTTTCTCGTCCCAGTCCTTGCCTTTTTCAGGACTAGACTCTTATGGCTTCTAACAGTTGCACCAGCCTTTCTGAGAAAGATTGTTGAAACTCCAGGACAATGCTATTCTGTTTATACTGACCGCCAACCAGACTTCCTTAGCAGATCTCTTTCTCCCAAGCTACCAGGACGACTGTTGATTTAAATGGGATATTGGAATTTTAGCAAAGACTTCATTATGAATGCTGGCTGGCTCTGAAGCTCTGAATGCCAGCTCTTTGCTCAAGAATGGCCAGAAACAGAGAGTGCCTTGTGGGGAAGAAAGCAACAGATCTCAAGCCAGGACGGGACAGTCCGATCACCACTGGGAAACACCATGGGAAAAGATCCCCAAATACTGCCATTACCACCTTACGTCAGAGATTCACTGGATACTAATTCGAACACCTCCCATGGTGCATGCAAGTTCTTGCACATCTCTTCTGCACCAGGTTTACCAAATGTCCTTTCTGGAAGCACGTGCAAGTACCCAAGTGTTTAAAAATGGAATTGGGCATAAGGTCTTTGACCTTTGGTCTCAGCAAACGGGCCACAACAAGGCATGAACTCGCTAGTCCCTCTGAAAATAGGGAAATGCATATGGTGCACAAGATAGTAAAAAATGTGCAGAGTCATTACTCTTGGCAACTTGCTGGCTGGCGAATTGCACCAGATCGGTTTGTGTATTGCACACACACCTATCCATTTCCCTCATGTTACTGGTACTGCCTTACATTAATGCCCGCCCTCCCACTTGCAAGGAATCCAAGGCAGCTTAAACAGAGAAACAGCGAGTCAGAGGGGGTCTCCCGGGCCATCTAGTCTGACCTCCGACACCAGCCGGCTCCGCTCACGACATGCCCACCATGTGCACGTCCAGCCTATCTTTGAATACCCTATAGAAAGGTCTCCCCGCAATTTCCATCTCACAAACAACTCTGCAAGGCAGGTTAGGCTAAGAAGCAGAGACTGACTCAAAAGTTACCCCGAGAACTTCAGGCTCAGTGGGGACTAGAACCTGGATCTCCCCGGCCTCGCCACTGGCTCTAGCAAAAGGCAAAATTAATAGCGTAGGAGCTACCCCAATTTCAGGGGCAGGTGGGGATTGCTGTGGCACATGGAGGACCAGGCCTGAGTCCTGTGCAGAGCATCTGGGTTGGACTACAGCTTTAAGGGGATGGATGAGGGTGGGATTCAGCAACCTGCGGGGTCTGAAGGCTCTTGTGAGAAAAAGGAGTACCTGCAAGAGCAGGGAGGGGGAAAGAGCTCTCAGGCTTGTCTGCAGCAGTGGGCACCATGCCAAGTCCAGTTGCCAGGACAAAATTGGGCAGGGCAGGGCAGGGCAGGGCTTGGGTTACCTGGACCCAACGCATGAGATCCCCCCAGCGTCCCGTGCCATCTGCTCTTTCCTGTTTGTTTTGTTTTGTTTCGTTCTGTTTTGTAACGTGTCTTTCTACCAAAGCCTGGCACCCAAAGTAGCTTAAGGAAACAATTAGATCGGACGGAAACAATATAAATACACAGTGCAGTAGAAACAAGAATTATGGGTGTGGGGGATTAAAGCCCAGCCCAGCAGTCTCACACAAAACCTTAAATGAAGTTGGCTTTGCCGGCCAGCACAAGGAAAACAAGGAAGTCAACAAACCCAGCTTGGGAGTCACCATGGAAAAGGACTTTTCTTGGGTTGCTAATAGACACACCTCGCAAAAGGACGATCTTAACAGCCAGGCAAACTTGGGTGGGTGAAAGTGGTCTTTCGGGTAACTGGCCGAAGTCACTGAGGATGCCATCTGGTAGCGTGGCGAGTGCGCTGGACTGGGACGTGGGAGATGTAGGTTTCGGTTCCCCCTCAGCTGTGCAGCTAGGCTAGAGTCCAGGGGCTGGAACTCAGCTGTCTTGAGTCCTAGTCCTGCACTCTAACCACTGCGCCATACTGCCTCTGATGAGTCCCAGAGTCGGTGTGGGAAGGCGCATCTTTCAAGGGCCGTGCCTCCTGTTGTGAAAAGGGATGCTTGGGCAGGGGAGCGGAGGCACCGAGTTCAGGGAAGAAACCGGCGAACAATTCGAGGGCGCAGCAGAGGCGGAAGCCGGGCCAAAAGCCCCCCATCCCGGGAACCCGGTGCAAGGGGGGCCTTGTACCTCGGTGTCAGCAGGAGCCCCAGGACGAGCAGGAGGCGGGGCAGGTGGCCGGCCGGAGAGGGAGCCTTCCCCAGCCTGGGCCGCACACACACGTGCCTATGGCCCCCTGCCCGCTCGGCCGGCCCGCTTCGGGCGGCCTCTCCCGCACTCGGCCGCCTGTTGGTAGATTTACACCGCGCCTCTCCCCCTACGGAGACCCGCACGCAGCTTAGGGCCCGCCCTCCGACTCTTCCCTCCACAACCGCCCCGTGGGGGAGGCCGGGCTGAGGGTCTGCGGCCGGCCCGCGGCAGCCCTTGGCCCCAGGGCAGAGGAGGCTGAGTGCCCGCCCCGCGCGAAGCGAAGCGAAGCGAAGCGAAGCGAGGCCGCCCCCCTTACCTCGCGTCCCGCGTTCACACGTGCCGGGCAGGACCCTCGAGGCGAGGCGCTGGCACGTGCCGCGCGCCCCGCCCGCCGCTCCCCCTCCGGCTCGCGCGCCAGGCGGCCGCAGGGGCGCGCCCGCGCATGCGCGCCCGCGCGCGCCCGTCCAGCCCCTCCCCCGCCGCCAGGTGTCCCCGCACCTGGGCAGTCGGGCGGGGAGCGAGCCTGCGAGAGGGGGCAGCGCTGCGTGGGGCGCCTTCCCGGGCAGCGCGACGCGCGGGATATACGCGCAGCCAAGAGCAAACGAGCGGCGCGCAAGCAGCACCTACAGGTGCGCGCGCGGCTTTCCTCCCGCGGGCCTGGGCGCCACACCGCAACACACAGCTGCGCCCTCGGCCCCCGATCGTGCACATCTGAGGACCTTATGGCAGCGGGACAGACCACAACGAGCGGAGCGCTGCTCGCCTCTGAGCGAGACCTGTTTCACTTGTACAATATAAAATTAGAACATGTACATTTAAAACGTCTTGTTTTAGAATATGCCCTAATATAATATGGCTTATAACATGCCTTATTTTAATCGTGATACTTTTGACATGAAGGAAGGACGGATTTTCTGCAGTAGGAAAAAAGATGGAGGAAGACAATGTCACCTGTCCCCACCCCCACCCACAACATGCTGTGCACGAAGCAGGATGACAGAATGATAAAAGCCTCATCTGAGTATTTGGTGGACTATGGACCTGAAAGTGTGTCCTTTTCTCATGTTCACAACCCACCCAGCCTTGCCTTTTTAATTAGAAGAAAGGAACCATCTAGTCTGAAAGGCCTGAAAGAACTGGAGAATTCCTGGCAGGAACTCCAAAATGTGCAAGTGACAAGGCTTATAGGGAGAGGGACACACACACACACACACACACGCAACCTTGGAAGAGAAGCAGGATTAAAGATCTGGGGTACTTCTAGGTGAGGCTTTGATGGCGCAACAGCCATACTACATTTGCTGAGTTCTACATGAACTCTTAGTGACAGATTTTATTTTCCTGGGCTCCAAGATCACCGCAGACAGGAACTGCAGCCAAGAAATTAAAAGACGCTTGCTCCTGGGGAGGAAAGCTGTGGCAAATCTAGACAGCATACTAAGAAGCAGAGACATCACCCTGCCGACAAAAGTGCGTATAGTCAAGGCGAAGGTTTTCCCAGTTGCAATGTATGGCTGTGAAAGCTGGACCATAAGGAAGGCTGAGTGCCGAAGAACTGAGCCTTTGGATTGCGAGCCACTTGGACCGCAAGGCGATCCAACCGGTCAGTCTGAGAGGAGATCAACCCTGACTGCTCTTGAGAAGGCCAGATCCTGAAGATGAAGCTCAAATACTTTGGCCACCTAATGAGCAGGAAGGACTCCCTGCAGAAGAGCCTGATGCTGGGAACGATTGAGGGCAAAATAAGGTGGGGGCGGTAGAGGATGAGGTGGCTGGATGGGGTCACTGAAGCAGTCGGCATGCGCTTAGGTGGACTCCAGGGGATGATGGAGGACGGGAAGACCTGGAGGAAGGTTGTCCATGGGGTCGCGATGGGTCGGACGCAACTTTGCGACCAACAACATGAACTCTAGACTTGGCCTCCCACCTGTGCACCTCCGTGATTTCCCATTGATTCTTCTGCAGGAAAGCAGGAGTTGCAGAGAAGGCAGCTGCACATGGGGACTGTTTGGGCCTCTCCATCTGGAAGCACCCTGGGCTTTCTGCTTCCACGGTAGCTCCCAGTCTCTGCCTCTGATCGGCACGATTTCTTTGACCGTATCCAGAAGGGCAGTAAAAGAAGAGCTACTTACCTGCGTTTTTTTTAACAGACCACACTGGATGGAACTATGGAGGATTGGGGTACAGAAGTGGCCCGTGTGAAGAGCACGGATGTGACGGTGCCCCGCAGCTGCCGAGAGCCCTGGCTGGGGAAACTGAGGCTGCCCGCGAAGCGGAGGCGAAGGTGGGCGCAGGAGTGGTGTCAGGGGAGTCTGAAGCAAGAACTGTCAGGAGCATTGAGCTGCAGTCCTGAGCAGAGATGGCGGGTGGGGGCTCCTCTGCTGAATCAGCCAAGAAATGAGTGGTTACTTTCTCAGCTCTGCTGATTTGCCAAGCCAAATCTTATGCATTCCCCACCCTGAAATTGCTGCCAGATGAGTGTGGGCAGTGCAGGGCTGGTTTGCATGAGGAGGTTTTGGGGGGAAAGGGCTCTTTTAAAAATCCCCAGTGCCCCCTTGCTGCAGCAGAAAGCCCTTCCGATCCTAATCTCCCATTCCTACGCAGTTTTTAGAAAAAGCTAAAAGGGCAGTGAGAAATGGGAGATTCCGTGCCATACCATTTGGACCAGATGCTGACTGGGTTCAGACAACCAATAACCCACATTCAAGGGCGGAGCATAGGCTGTGTGTGGGTTGTTGTCGCAATACGGGTTGTTCTTGAAATGTGGGTTATGGTGTTGCCTGAACTCAGCCCAGTTAACACACAAAAAATTTGTCGGGAGATCCATCCAGCCAAGACCAACAGGTCCCTTGTACCTTTTCCTCCAGCAGGTGCCCACGGCAGCAAGGTCGCCTCCCAGGGACTGAGGGCCCCAGAGGAAAGATTCGGGGCAGGGGCCCTAGCAGGTCTTTTGCTAACACCTTGTCTTGGGAACAGGTGGATGATTCTTAAAATCCTTTATGTATTTGGTCCATGTTCCAGTTTCCCCCCAGTGATCTCAAAGTGGCTTACATCCTCCTCCTCCTTCTCCTCCTCCTGCTCTCAGCCTCATCCCCAGAACGACAACCCTGCGAGGTGGGTTCAGCGGAGAGCCTGTGGCTGGCCCACAGCCTCCCAGTTGGCGCCACGGCCGAGCAGCGACTGGAACCCGGCTCCTCTGAGGCCCGGCTCCGCGCTGGCTCTCCTGTGCGGGGCTCTGGGCGAACGCTCACCCCCGCGCTCCAGAGGGGGCGCGCGGTTACGCCGGCAGAGGCAGGCCGGGGCCTCCGTCCCTCCGCCTCGTGCCGCAACCGGAGCCTGTGCAGAAACCAGCGCGCAGAAGGCGGCAGGCGGCGCCCCCCGGCGGGCTCCGCATTCGGTGCCCGGGGGCTCCCTCCCTCCCTCCGGCTCCGGGGCGCACGGGCGGGCGCGTCACAGCCGCTGGAGCGTTCGCCCCGCAACCGCCGCCGCCCCACGCCAGCTGGGCTGGGCTGCGCTGGGCTGGGCTGGGCGGCTCGGCTCGGCTCGGCAAGGCGGCAGTCCTCATGGAGCAGGCGCAGGATGCGCGCCCGGAGCCGGCCAGCGAGGCGCTCGGGAGCAGGAGTGAGCGGCTCCGCGCCCGGCTCGGCGGGGGGCGAGGGGCCGAGCCGCACCGGCTGCTTTCTCTTCGGCCGGAGGGGTGGGCTCGGGCAGCCCGCCCAGGTCGCCCTCCTTCAGCAGGGCTTCACTTGAGCCTGGGAAGCTGCCGCGCGCCGAGTCCCGGCACACGCTCCTAAAATGTGGCGTGCCCCTGAGCACGTGCAGAGCGCCTCCCTCCCGCTCCCATGAAGCGGCTTTATTTGTTCGTGTAGTGCCTATCCTTGCCTTTCCTCTAGAAATAGGGCTCAGAACGGCTAACACTGAAAAAAAGCAGATAAACAGAACTGGATTAAAACACATTGGTTAAAAAGCCAACCTTCCCCTAGACCGGTGCCTTCTAGATGGGCTGGACCACACCCCCCATCATCCCCAGCCAGCATATGGCCCAACACATCTGAGGGAGGGTGGGTCAAGAAGGGCTGTCAAAGTTCAGAAAACCGCCTCATACAAATCGAGTCTGCCAAACACGGTGCCATCCGCATCCCGCTGGGCTTCCAAAGGGACATTTCTCCAGCCGAGATGGAGATCCTGGGATTTGGTCCCTCCTGCATGCAAATCATGCTGAGTTTTGGGGATCCCCTTCCCCTCCTCCCCACCCCCAAGCCCCAGTTCCTCTGTCGTCTCTTCCCCATTACTAGGAGAATGTGTGGAACTCACTGCCACAAGACTGGATGCGCAGGGGGCTTTAAAATGCTATTGGACCTATCAGTATGTCTCAGCCCAAGCTACCTTGCAGGGTTGTTGTGTCACTAAAATGGGAGGGAGGCCACACACAATGTCCTAAACTCCTTGGACTGTATTAACAACTACATGCATATAACGCATATGACTAATTTATAGAGATTACAGAATTTCCCTCTTTCCAGAATGCAGCAATGCTTAACAGGAACCAATAGAAGTGAAAACGTGGCACTCACTCTGTAAATCTGTGCCTGCTTCTTCCCGCCCTCCAGGTGGCGCCAGCAAAACCTTCAGGGCAAGTGAATGGATCCTGGTCATCCTCTCCTTCTTCTTCACGGTTTTGACTTTCCCTGTGTCCGTCTGGCTGTGCATAAAGGTAAAATAATCCCTCGAAAGCATCTTGCGGTGGGATTCTCCCCAGCCCCTTCCAGCACCCAGGGACCACAGCAGCATTCATTTGTGTACGTTGTGGATGGCTGCGAATCACGAGGCTGCGTGGAGGCCTTTGGTTCGGTGAGAGGAAAGAGGCTGAAATGGGGCAGGTTGTGGGGGACGTTGGAGGCCTAGAAATGGTGTCCAGACCCTCTAGAGAAAAGACAGCCTCGCTGGGAAACCTCCCTGCATTTCCCCGTCATGGAGCGTTACAGGAAGCTCTGGGTTGCCTTCCCCTGCCCCATGTGGCTGATCTCTGGAGGCCGTTCAGACTTTGCAGGGCGGAGAAGAACGAAGGGAGCTCGCTTAGCACACCTGAGCAAGGTGCTTCCCTTCTCACATCAAGGACTCAGCGAGGGGCTGGAATGGCATCGTGAAACGGGATCATGGAACGCTGAGCATGCCTTGCGCTGGAGTTGTCTGTGTGGGTCTAAATCGGGGATGGGGATGGGGGGTTGCGGCAGATGGGGATGGACTGCAGCTCCCATCTTCCCTAGACAGCACCCATGGGTGAAGGATGATGGGGGCTGCAGCTCTAGATCTTCTGAAAGGACACACGTTCCCCCATCCCTGGCCTAAGTGGCTTCTGCGCAATGGCCCATCGGTCCCTGGGGGAGCTGTGAAAAGACCCTTGGAGAGCAGCTCAGTGTAAGCAATACGATTCGGTGTAGAGCAGCTTGAGTATATCTTCACAAGAGCTCCGTAAAAGCCACCTTCTCCCAGGTGTTCCTGCTGTCAGCAGCACAGAGTGGAGCACGAAGGACGGGGCCTTTTTAGCTGTGGCACCATGCTTCTAGAATGTCCAATGGTAACCAAGGTCTCATGGTTATAGAACGAATTCTATTAGCTTCAAATCTCATTCAGTTCATATGAGGAGCGGACAGCCTATGGCCTTGCAGATGGGTTGGCTTGCAATTCCTATCAGCCCTAGCCAGCATAGCCAATGGTGAGGATGATGGGAGTTGTAGGACACAACATCTGATGAACCATAGATTGCCTACCCCTGTGTATACCAACAGCAGGATCCATTGGGCCGCTGGCCAAAGCATTGAAACCTTCTGGCTGTTTCCAAGGTATTGTGAATGTGCGTAACGATAAACCATCCTGGATTAATAAAACTATGATGTGAATTACATGTTTGCTGGGGCCCACGGCCCTTTTGCTAACCCCCATTTCTGTGAGTGCGTGAGCAGCCAACCCATCTAGGAAAAGAACAGCTTTGTCTGATGACCTGACCTAGAATTGTGGTTTAAGTGTACCCAGACAAGCCAGGATTCATAAGCCCACAACATAACCTGGTTTAAAGGTAGCCTATGCGCCTGCCTCACTCACATTGGGGTTTGTTAAGTACCAGGCTGCCTGGATTATTTTTACAAATGAAGGCAGCTGATGAAAAGAAAGAGGTTGTATCGCTACCCTGCAGCAGGCGTGGACAGACGTCAGTCATGAAGTATCTCCTTCGCTTTATGCTAGAAGACCAGGATCCGCCAAATGGAGCCATGCTGCAAAAGACGCACGTGTCGAATTGCTGTATTCCAAGCCAGGGATTATTTCAAGTACCAGAACTAAACAGAAAACATGTTTCTTCTGCACAAAGTACTCCTGGTCACTATCCTGCTGCTCAATTCTTCATTTCCACAGTATAATTTAGGGCTGAGGTAGGGGAAGTAATTTTGTGATTAAATAATTGGAAATCAGAATGATTGGATCTTCACTGATTTACTTCAAATCACCCAGAAATTTATCAGTGGATCTTGGTCTACCTTCTACTCTCCTCCAGAGAATCACTTGTAATTTGTGTAGAAGTGAAAACCTTGTTTTCTCTCTGACCTGCTGCAGGTACATGTCTGACAGAGAGTTATTAAACTAAACGGCGTGCTTATGCAAAACTTGGCATTTACTCTGAACAATTTCCCCTTTGTGTTGCTACTAGATTTATCTTAAATGCAGTGCAAAATAATAGGTTTCTAAACAGACAGACAGACAGGAAGAGAACCAGTTGATCTCACAAGGAAGAATCCAGGTTATCATTCTTGGTGTAAGCCCAACATCCTTTCCACAATCGCTGGGAAGCAGGACTGCTCTCCAGCGATCATCTGAAACACTCTCAAGTTGCATCTTTTGCACACAAAGGGTCACTTGCCATTCCCTTTCCCAGGCTTCGGTGTCCTGTGTTGTTGCTGCGTGCCTGGCTCCAGTGAGTTCCTTTTTAGGATTCAGATTTTTCCTCTGTTTGCCGTACATGAAAATGGCAAGAGCGGCCTGAAATGTGCAGGGTGGGGGCAGCAGTGTGTGTGTGTGTGTGTGGGGGGATGCTACACACCTGCAAATGATCTGCAAGTTTTTGCGTCTCCCCCCGACAGATCGTCAGTGCGTTCGAACGAGCGGTTTTCCTACGGCTGGGACACATGAGAAAAGGCCAGGCGGAAGGGCCAGGTACGTCATGTGACGGGCCAGCCAGCGTGTGATAGAAGGTCTTACGGCTGATGGGACCCTTCCCCAAAACCCCCTCCTCCTGCACACTTCTCCTGCAAATGGGCTTGGCGGTGTAAGCATCTTCCTCTCCGGTCCATTTGATGGCTGAATGTATTGAGAAATCTTGATCGGGCCGTGCGTGCCCAGAAGACAAGTTTCCGGACAGATGTGTGCTTAACCTGTTTTCATGTAGCTGCATCCCACGGCTCTGATGATTTGTAGCTCTGATGATTTTAAGTAGCTTCATCAATCGTTCCTGATGGACAGTGCACTGTGCTCCCGTGCCGACCAAAATCAACCAAAGCCTTCTCACGCAGGGCAAACCAGCCATTCCTACAGATGTGGGGAGGGGGGGCAGCAGGAGGGGGTAGTGCCCGTCCAGGGTTGCCAACTGACCCGAAAATGGCAGCCTGAAGAAATTAGGAGGCCAAGCTTCCAAGTGGTGTACAGATAAGCTGCCCTGCCCCATTCCTGCCTAACCCCGGAGCTGCTGGCTGTCCTTTCTTTCCCGCAGGAATGTATTTCGTCTTGCCCTGCACAGACACTGTTATCACGGTGGATATGAGGACAAAATCATTTTATATACCGCTCCAGGAGGTAAGGGTTGCCTTTTCGCTGGCCGTTTCCCTCCCCCTTTTAAGAGTTGCTGGCAGGTTTAAGGAGACTTTGACATTTTTAAACAAACTTTTGCTGGATGGCGAAACCATCTGTCTCTCATTCTCTCTTCTGCCACTTTCTTCTATTTTAAGAGAAATAATTTTGGGGGTGTCTCTGCTCTTGGGGAGGGGTTGACACCCTTCCTGGGTGGCTGGCAAAGCAGAGAGGGTATCAGTCACACAAAATCTTTGCTGAGAGGCCGAGACCTTCTGGTTGCCCACCTCTGCCTTAACAGGCACTGTGGATTCCTGCTCTTGCACTCTGTAAAGCCATTTCCTTTCCTGCATCAGGGTTGGGAGGCGTCCCTGTGATCTCATCCACACTGGTGCAAGATGGTCTGATTGATGGTAAAGGTTGGATCGAGGAGTCTCGCTTTCCTTCTAGCTGGGCTGCTGCCAGTCACCCGCAGTGGGTTTTCGCAAGCCATAACTGGCATGAAGAAGTGGCTTGCAAGTAATTGGCCAGAAATCTAATAATCACTAAGCATAATATGTTTTCTGCTGTAGATAAACAGTCATCATGCCTCCTCCCTTTCCTCCTTGGTTTTTCTTTCAATTAGATTAAAGTGTGTGCTTTGCTTTGCTTTGCTTTGCTTTGCTTTGCTTTGCTTTGCTTTGCTTTGCTTTTTTTATAGACAAGTGAGCAACAGAACATCTTTTGAAAAGTATCGGTGGGGGTATTTCTTGGGTTGCAGTTCCTCAGAAATGCAAAACTGTGGTCACAGTTTCCACATCCCCTTAAGCCAAATATTCTGGCTATCGACCAGGGTGAGAGCACGCTGTGACTCGCATACACAGTCGGTTTTCTACCAGATTGTACAAGTAGGTAAACAAACCAGGGAAGAACAGTCTCTTGAGCTGTCCAAATCCAGAATTATGGTTGTGGACCCTGTTGATGTTTAATGTAATCAGGTTGCATCCCTAATTTTTATGGTTCCGATTTGTCTCTTGGGTGCTGCAGCCATTCCTTTCCTGATTCTTCTCCGTGGGTTTCGGGAAAGAGGCCAGAGGTGATCAGCATTTAGGCTGAAAGGAGCGCTGGGCCCTGGAACGGTCCTCGCTGGAGACTCTGCAGCAATGCAAAACAAGCGCATTGCAAACCAAACACTGTTTGAGAGGATTCCTGATTGAAAGGACGAGGAAATGCAACAGGCAATGCTGTTTGTATTTGAAAATAAATGGGTAGGCATTGTCTATTCAGAAAGTGGCTACAATTCTTTAGCCACCTCACTCACTATCTGCTACTAGCGACCTGCTTTTTTGGCAGCTGCTGAAAGTGATATGTTTGAGCCGCAGGGCTACTCTGCCTCTCTCTTGGCATGCTTGTGCTTTTAACTCTTTGCTCTTCCGTCACTCCTTCCCCTTGGCTAGATTCTTACCAAAGATCCAGTGACAGTGGATGTAGATGGCGTGATATATTATCGAGTTCAGGATGCTATCCTAGCCGTGACAAATGTCACCAACGCGGACTCGGCCACGCTGCTCCTGGCTGAGACCACGCTGAGGAACGTCCTGGGGACCAACAATTTCTCTCAGATCGTCTCTAATCGAGAAAAAATTGCACAGAGCATAAAGGTACGTGCAAGATGCCTCCCTCCACCCCGCTGCCCCAGGATCAGTTGGGCTGCAGCTCCCATTCTCCCCAATGGTACGGCCATTTGGTGTGCCGCCTGGGGATGATGGAAGTTGTAGTCCAAAGCATCGGGAGGGTGCCATGTTGGGGAAGGCTGGGCTAGCAGAATTCCACCTTGGGGTGGGGCCACAGAGAAATGACATGAATAAACCAGACACCTGCTGCCTCAAGCCACTGGGAATGTGGAATCGGACACCTGTTCTGCAGATGTGTCATTCCTTTCAAAAGGATCCGTATGAATGCAATGAATAATCTGGATGAAAGGACATCGGAAAGAAGGGAAGGAAACCGCATCGCATTTGATGGGCTTTAAAAGACGCGTTCTGTGCCGCTCATTTCCAGCGCTCTGCGCAGGGCTTGGTGGAAGGAGCATTAATTTGACTCCCTCCCACAGGGATGAATGCATTAAGGGGACACTGATGGCCGCAAAGCCGCAGAGACTCGCTTTTCTCTTGGGAGCCGAAGGGGACGGCAGAGGATGAGGTGGCTGGATGGAGCCACTGTGTGGTGGGCACGGGGCTGCGAGGGCTCCGGGGGACGGTGTAGGACCGGAGATCCCGGTGGGCTGCGGTCCATGGGGTCACGGGGGGTTGGGCGCGACTTTGCGACTGAACAGCCACGGCGAGGCGAAATTCTTGCGCATCTTTAACAGTCCATCCTAGACAATGCCACAGGCAGCTGGGGAGTCACGGTGGAGCATGTGGAGATCAGGGACGTGAAAACCACGGTCAAGGTAGGAGCTTTCCTTCGATTAGGCTTGGCCCTGGAAGATGGCAGAATTGGGGACGATGACGGTGGCCCCACGGGACTGGCCACTGGGGGGTCAAACCGGCCTCCTCCCCAAGTGGTGGTTCCAAGTGCAGTTACTCTTCCTTGAGAAGCAGTATCGTTTTGTTTTTTGTAGGCAGACGTGTTTTCCCATATTAGTCACCGTTTTCGCCAACCTCTCTTTTAAAGGGAGAAGGAATTGGGGTGAGGGAGTTCCAGGTTCTGGTCCTCACGTCACTCACTCCCTGCCTAATCCGCCTCACAGGGATGTTGTGGAATAGAGGAGAGGAGAAGATGGAGAGGAGATGATATACCAACTGCCTTGAGTTCCTTGAAGGAAAGAAGGGTGGGATATATATATAGAATACGTTTTGTATACGTATTATATATATATAAGCTCATTTTGTTCCTCTGTCAGGGCTGTAATTAGTTATTCTGTATTTATAGCTTGGCTGTATTTGGACCTTGAAGTTTGCTACAATTACAACTATTAATTTTTGACTACGATATAATTTCTTGAAGGGTCAGCCATTTGCTATAGGAAGCAGTTTTCATCTTAACCTTACAGAAACACTGACAATTCCATTTTTTCATTAAGTGCCCAAGGAGTGAGTGAGTGCGAGGAAAAAATGCCAAATGCCCGTCATGGATAAAGTCAGCAGATATGAGGAACTTGCCCTCTGAAAGTGGAAATTAGGCACTGCTTGGTTGCAATACTTTTCTAATCTTTAGGTGAAGTTTTGTTTCACAGAGTGAGGGGAGACGGCATCATTAGACTAGCAAGCAGCAAAGTCCCTAATTCTAAAGACCTGTCCATCTTTGGGACGTTAAAGCTGTTTTAGCTGTAAAAATTGAGAACTGCAAACACATTTCCCACTTTTAAAATGTCCATGTGAGAGACGGTCCAAGACAGTAATGAATCACATTGGAGTGCACTGTTTTATCTAAAATACTTTGACTAATTTTTAAATTGTAAGTTTCCAGAATCAAGATGAATAGAAAATAGAAATAAAATGAAGCTATTCTTTTCCAATGAATATGCTTAATACTTTTCAGCTCCATTAATGTCATACTTTGTGGAATGAAATTATTCACCTGAAAATATGATTTTTTCCCAATTGATAGTGTTGTCAAAAACAATTATAATGCTATAGTTTGTTTTCCCTTTTAGCAGTAAAAGCTTCTTTTAGTCCCGTGAAAAGGCCCAGGGAGTGAAAGAGCTGATCTGATTCCAGTTCAGACTCTGCCTCAGCCTTCCCCAACTGTTCTGAAGCTCTGCTCTTGATAGTTCCAGGCTGCGTGAGCAATGGCCAAGAACTCTGGGAGTTGTAGTCCCAGACACCGGGAGGGCTGCAGTCCCTCTGTCTGCAGGGAGAAGCCCATCCTCTGGACCCCCTCTGCCTGGCCTGCTGCCATTGTAACTGCAAAGGAACGTTAAAATGTGCCTGTGCACAAGGCGATAGCGCAAAACCCATCCTGTCTTACTCAGCACCATGGTCATGATCCAACCCCCGCATCCCATGTGGCAGGTTTTAGGAAACCGATCCCAATGGGCTTCCAGCTGCATCATGTACAGGTTTCCCTGTCGTCCACATTAATATGGAGTCTCACCTTTGGCCCATGAGTATTAAGCCGTTTCAAGTGAACTCGGAAGCTTTTCCAGACCTGCGTTTGGCTCCCTCTCAGGTCATGGCAGCAGAGGCGGGGAAGAGCCCCCCCAGAACTGTGAAAGAAGCCTCGATCGTCATCACCGAGTCCCCCATGTCCCTCCAGTTCCGCTGCTTGCAAAAGACAGAGGATGCCACCACAAGCCACCAAAGCTCCACCATCGTCTTCACCTACCCGTAAAGCCTCTACAAGGGCATCCTGAGAATGGAGCACGAACCGAAGATGTTGGTTTTGGAGATGCCCTTTTCATGGAAGACCAGAGTACTTAAAAGCGCATTGTGGGGTTGAATACGAAAGGGGTGGGTTGTTTTTTTCTCCATTTCACAGGTGCTTTTGTTCTTTTCCTCCCCAAAAGAGAAATAAAGCTGAAGTGTGGAGAAAATCCTGAGCGGGTTCGTCTTGGTCATTTTTCCACTCCCCAAATATGGGTGTGCGTGTGAAGGGGGAATGGCTACTGCACACGCCGCAAGCCGTACAGCGTACCTGAATTTTTCGGTCTGCGGAGACCCAGTTCTCCTACCCACAGGTCCTGTGATTTGTCTATGTGAACCTCTGCAATTTGGGCGCAAGTGTGGCGCACTGCAAGCAGGTGCCATGCGCTCTCTTCCTCTTTCCGTCCCCTGCTGGAATGAAGCCTAAGTGCAGTTGCCTACGTTGGAGGGAAAAGGATGCCTCCAAGACCATATTAACGCTATTATTCCCTTCCAGAATGGGGAGAGCTGTGGAGCAGGCCCAGAGACGGTGTGCGCAGTGAACGCCAAGCCGGGCATCTCCAGCTGTTCCCATTCCAAGCAGCGAAATCTCTCCAGGGTCCAGCATGGCAACGAGCATATTTCCTGTTATATGAACCTTACCCTGAGATCCAGGATAGAGAGCAGGATAATCCCTAAATCACTGGTGTCCTCCAGGAGTTTTGGGCTACGGTCCCCGTCCTTGACCATTGGCTTTGCTGGCTGGGCCTATTGGGCTTTGTAGTCGACAGCCACTGGGCTGCGCTAGGCTCGAGAAGGCAGACCACGTGAGGGGCTAGATCCAGGATTTTCCCTCTGTGGCTGGAAGGGTGCTGCTCACCGAATGTTTCCTCCGCCAGATCTGGGGCATTCCTTCCACCCCATAACACACTGGAGCTCGCCCCATTTGGCAGGTCTCCTGATTGTCCTGCGCAGCATTTCCTGGAGGGGCCTGGAGGGAAGGAGAGCCCACAGTGCAATGGACTGGCCCGAAATCTGAACGCAACCCTACTGCTGCGCCCCGAGACCATGCTAGCCCGCCACCCGCACACGCCCTCTCGGGCTTCTCTCCCCTCACGCTCACTGAGGAAAAAGGGGGAGCGATGGGTGGGCAGACATCGAAACCCAGAGGCCGGGGGGCGTTGGCAGGGCCAGATTCAAAGGCTCAGTGGGTCGCATCCAGCCACAGGGCATAGATTCCCGGCACTCGGCCCTCGTGCGTTAATGGTCTGCTTTCCCTAAGCCGGCGAATCTGCACAAGCACTCTGGTGGGTTTTCCAGAGAGACAAATGGCCGCCAGAGCATCCGAAGGGCCCACAGATCCCACATGCCGGACGACTGGCTGGCTGCTGGAAGGTGCAGGCTAACATCTCTGCAGGGCCAAAGGCAACCCACCCCGTGCAGTTTCTGCTTTCTGAACGACAGCCGGGCCGTGTGACGAACTGCACCTCTCTCGGTGCGGCTGCGTTGCGTGGGCTGTGGGCACCGTCACACGGAGGAGGGTGGAGGCTGAAACAGGCCCTGGAGAATTTTGGGGAAGGGTTTCGAGATGATCCTGTGGATCCGTTGGTGTACATCTGTGCCAAACCACACGGGAAGAGCTTGCATGTGAGGACTAGCTCCAGAAATTGCCAGCAGCGGCTCCAGGGAGCTGGAGGGGGAAGACGGTTCCTGGGCAGGCCATTTGTGCTCCAGAAACTGCTCTTTGGTCCTTCCCACCATCAGAACAGCGGTTACCTGAGGCACCTCAGCACCTGCACGCATCCTGAATGCTTGAACCTTTGGTATGAGCACCTGCTCGAAACATTACGGCAGCCTCTCTCTCTCCTAACGTCCAACTCCCCTCCTCCTGTTGCCCCTGGAAGCTCTTCTGCATCATCTCGATCGCAACCGGGGCCTTCCTTGCTCCTAACTGAAACCTGATGTACGTGATCCTAGGCCAGCGGTGCCTTGAGAATTGGGAGGCCTTCCTTGAAGCGCTCTGATGCTTCCCCAGATGGTCCTTCCGTGTCCCTGGATGCAGGGAGTGAATCAGACTGCTGCTCTCGGCAGCCTCTGAAGAAGAAGACCTGGAAGACCCAGCGATGGGAGTTTCGAGAACTTGGAGAGAGGCACAGGCCTTTGAAGTGCCCGCAGGTCCCCAGGCCACCAGGAATGTTACGGAAGGCGGCCCAAGAAGGGGAGGAAGCGGAGCCACGGCCTGGCTGGTCCCTGCCCCATGGCGAGGCGTCAAGAGAAACCAGCCGCCCAGTCCCTCCAGGCTGGCCCTTCGCCGGAGAGTCACTGAAAGGGAGCGATTTTGGGGAGAAGTCCCCATTAGGGCCCAACGCTTCTCGCCCAAGGAGAGGCTCGTCTGCCAGCTCGCTAGGGGGGCTTCAGAATGACGGTGCTTGTCGCTTTGCCTCGCAGAGAGTCTGCCTAGGTCAGGCCGCGAGAGGGGGCCCTGCATGGCGGCTGGGACCAAGGCGGGAGGGGCACAGGCCCTCCAGTCCCCCCAGAACGCCAGCTTGGACCTCCCGCTGCCAGGAGCTAAACCTGACGGGAGTCATTTCCTTTCCTTTTAGGATGCGGGGGGAAACTGCACAGAACATGGGGACCAACATGGCGGGCGGCCGGAGGAAAGTGGGAGAGCCAGAGGAAAGGGCAGGGTCCCCCGGGAAAGCCTGGCGTGCCAGACCTGGCTCCTGGCCTGAGGTTCTGTTTCCTGGCAGCTCCGATCCATAAACCGTGTCCCATCAACCGCACATGGCAGTTGTGGCACCTCAGGGCAGCCCATGTCTCACAGCAACCTCCCGTGCCAATTTGGGGAGCAGCTATGCTCCCCCCGCAGCCCCCGAGAGGCCTCATCCGGTGCCAGCAACCTTTCCCCAGTTCTATGTGAGCTTTATTAAAGGCCGTTTTTCAAAGCAGCAGCAAAGCCGTTCCCATTCATGGGCTGATCTCCACTACTGCGTAGCCACAGCTGTTTAAAAAAGTTAAAAAAGCGCGATACAAAGGGCAGGTTTCTGGGTCTAGAAGAACAACAAGAAGAAGAGCATAGCTCTTTGAAGGCACTAGACTGCTGGAAAGAACCAGCTGGGAAGCCCGTCTCCCTCCTTACGCCGCCAGCTCTGCCATGGCCCTCTGCAAAGGGTCGGTGTCCCAGTAATCGTCTTCCCAGCCCAGGAACCAGCCGGTGAAGGTGGGAGGCTCGAACCCCTGCCTGATGAGCGTGATGGGCGTCCTCCGGTCCCGGTTGGCGGGGTCCGTCTCGAGGTACCTTCGTGCTGCAGAGGCAGGAGTGCTGGAGTTAGCCGAGCCAGCCTCCTCCTGGGGAACTCTGCGAGCCCCGTTTAGTGTAATTCACCTTTGCACAACACATGCTTAGCGAACAAAAACAACCCTTCTCCTGGATAGACAATAAGCAAACCTCACACACTCTTCTCATGTGCTTTGGGTACAAAATACCACCGAGCACTCGAAAAGATACTGCTAACTAAGATGGTTTTAAGAAAAGTCTCTTTTGGTGCAGAAGGGGGATCTCCTCTGGATGCCGGGGGGGGGGGGGGGGCTGCTGCAGGGGAAGCTTTGCTCCTCTGTGTGGGGGGAAAGCAGCCTTTCAGGTGCTCTGAACTACAACTCCCATAATTCCCGAGCATCTTGGCTGCAGCTAATAGGGATAAGTAATTCAAACATCTGAAAGGTACCATGTTGGGGAAGGCAGGAGCAGAGGACCTGCTGCCCTCCAGGCGTTTCCACCGACAGCTCTCATCAGTGCCAACCATGACGGCTCACGGTCAGGGACTGGGCTGTTCAAAACATCGGGAAGGCACCGGGTCACCTGCTCTTGGAGTTGTCCCTAGACAGATCCCAGTTCCAGCGTTTGCTTTGGCATAAAGCTCACCGAATGAGGACTGCGGATCAGTCTGGACTTTTCCACCTGAAGCTTTGATTCGGTCCCTGTGCTACCCTGTGCCCCCACACCCCCATCCCTGGGTTCTTCTTCTGCCTTTCTGTACGCTCCGTTACACAACCCGCAATGTAACGGAACTGCGAAACTGCACAAGCTTCTCGCAGCAGCTCACTGCACCATTTTCAGAGAACGCTGCCCGTTCCCCGCTGAGAAAGGAAACCCCATGGAAATGGGAGAGGCCTCGAAGGATGGTGGGACCCGCAAAGCGCAGCAGCTGAGGAAGCATGTAGCAAATGCCGAGGCTTCTCGGCACTCCCGATAATCTTGCAGCCACCCCGCTCCACACGCGCGAGGCTGCAGGATTGTGCCCTGAGCGTGCGAAACTTTGTTGGATGTGGCCCTGGGTGGAGCGTGTGGCTCTTTCTTGGGTTTTCTAAAGGCCTGAAGGCAGATGAACCAGCGCGGCCCACAGCTGGCTTCTCCACCTGCCCTGAGAGAAAGGGGTGCGACGAGAGCCGCGAGTGCGGACGACTCACCTGAGGCCTGCGCTTCTGTCTTCTCTTCTTCATCAGCATCTTTTCCAACCCACACAAAGACCTTTTAAGAAAAAGGAAAGCAGAGCTCCTTCAATGAAACACATTATTTATCGATTCCATTCATCGATTTCATTTCTATACCTCCCCATAGCCAAAGCTCTCTGCGTGGTTTATGGGAATAATTAATTAACAACATGAATTTCCTTGCGTCATATGCTGCTGGCGGAGCTATAATGTTAACTGATCACCTCTCAAACCTGAGGTGGGGGGGATGAGAGATACACCTTTTGTGAGTCCTTTGACTCAGGTGCACCTTTCTTGGGTCTTTAAAGAGATCGCGGCTGGAGCAGACACCCGCACACAGAATTTATTTATCCGTTCATTATCTTTAAGTTTTTTTTTAATACTATCCACTACTGAGGTCTTGGGATGGTTTGACAGTAGACAGAATAGAGCAAAATAAAACACAGCATCCTGATTAATTAGGATCCTGTTAGAAGGATCTCAGCTAGCATATCCAGGACAGGCCACTGCCCAAACCCTTAGACAAGAGTCCCAGTCAGTACAAAGGGGCAGTGCAGCACAGTGGCTAGAGCAGCCCTCCCGAATTTGGCACCCCCCAGATGAGCTGTGCTACAGTTTTCATCATCCGACTCCGGCACGATCATTGGAATAAGGGCTGGAAGGCACCACGTCTGGGAAGGGTGGTTTATATTTTATTCACTGTATTTCAGCACTGCCGTTTTGAGGCCAACTGACACACCAAAGTGTTGAACTAGGACTGAGGAGACAAAGGCTTAGGTCTCCTTTTGGTCTTGACGTTCCCCTTATAATCTTGCATCAGTCGCACTCTCAGACTAGCCTACCTTGCAGGGTAGTTGTGCAAAAAAATGGTCTGGGCTGGAACAAGCACTAGAGCCCATCAGAGTAAGGAAGGGACTGTAAATGGAGCACATGCTACTTTGCTTGATCAGAAGTGAGCAGACTTTGCGTCTGGGGAATCTGTTTCATGCTGACTGGAATCCAGAGCTCTGCCATCTCCGGAGTGAGGTGCAAAACAGGCCCAGAAAGCTGAAGCTGTGTCTCATGTATTGACATTACCACCACCCTGAGACACTATTAAGGGTGTATAAATACAAAGTTTTGAAGAAATAAAATAAACCAATAAAAGCAAAAGAAGTTTTGATTTGCTGTTGGACTGGTTCGGCAATTTAAATAATTGCTGCATTAATTGGAAGAAAAAAGCGGGATATAAATCTAATAAATAAATAAATTCGTTCTATATTGAAATGGGGATGGGAACTGCCTTGACATTGCATGGAACCAAAAGGGAGGACTTAAGCATTTTAAAAGTAGAAACAGACTGAAGGTTTGCAGGGCTACAAGGAAGGGAAGCGAATCTGGTTTACTTTTGCAATGCAAGCAAACAGCCATGGACTCATTCATCTGCACTGCTGAACTGGAACGTGGTGCTTTCCAGTTTCTTTTGTGGTGGAATGCTGGACCTCTTTGATGCCGAGCATGAAAGGAACTGGTCATCAGTGAGCAGACATACCTGGTCCCAGGTGTCCAAGAGCATCACATCATCCGTGGCCAGGTCTTCCTGGGTCAGCTCTCCGGGCACCTCGTCGATCTGAGCAAAACATTTAACAGTCATAACACGGAGGGTCCCAGAAACCCCAAGTGCCACTATAAGGGACTTAGATTGTTAGACCTTTCCCAAGAGAAGTCAAATCAGGTCTGTGCTTGTTGCTATTGTTCTCGGAAACCTTTTAATTTCAGTTTCAATTTCCAGCCATTTCAAAATGACAGTATTGGCATTCTGCTTGGTTTAATGGCAGATTCTCAGTATGGTCTACCTCACAGGGCTGTTGTTGAGAGGATAAGACTGAAAGGGGGAGACTTATGTAAGCTGCCTTGAGTTCTTTGGAAGTTAAAAAACAAACAAACCCAAAATGCGGCATATACACCTGGTAAAGAAGTGAATACAATACTCACAGTGAAGCGTCCGCTCTTGTTGGAGCAGGCAAAGAGCCGAGGGGGGTGTGCGTCCATCTTCTTATCCTTGAGCCGCGGGGAGGTGCGATACGCAGCTCTCCCACCAAGGGCTTCCCAAAAACCATCTGCAAGATTCATCACAGCTTCAGCCTGGGCTCTCCTGAGGACATTGCTCCCTTCCCAGAAAGGCTGTTGCTTCCCCAGCTCTGAGGGACAGATCCGTCTCCGCCGGATACATGGAGGGCGGGGGACTGGGGAAGAACGGGGTGATCCCACACACGGTGAATTAAGAGGTGATCCCGGCGTGTTCTAGGGTGGCCAATTCTCCTTCGCCAGAACAGAAGGCATAGTTTTGCACGTGGTTTTCACGTGCCAATTTATAGATATATAGGCAAACTGGGAAACAAGTAACTATAATTTAACTGGAAGTATGAAGCATCTCGCCCGGGTGGGGAAGATGGTGAGCGCATGATGTGTGTGTTTCCCGCCCGGCCCCTGCCTGGGTGCCACCAAGGGATGGACAGCTCTGCTCTCCTTTCTGACGCCTCTTTATCTTTAAGACGGGGCGCCCTTCGAACAGAGACCGTCCTCTGTAACGCAGGCCACAACGCTCTGCTCCTGTGTCCCCCCAGTTTTAGCAAGGCGCCAGGCACATAAAGGCTACGAGAACCACATGGTGGTGTTACTGACACTTTGGGTATGGTCAGGGGATAAGGACTGGAGCAGTTCTGGGGACAAGAGGGACAAGGCGGGTGCTCATGCTTCGAACCTGGCTCTCTGCCTTCAGCCACCTGGGTCGCCCGTGCGCCCAGAACCTTCAGCAGCTCCTGGGCACCAGACTTCTCCGAATCACTGGCTCCTTGGCCCACCCAGAGATAGGCAGTGGAGGGAGTTTTCAGCACAAAGACATCGTTGGAGTTGAGTTCCTTTGCCTCTGGATCCACCTGTGAAGACAAAGACACGGCTTGGTCCATTTACAGAACAAAGGCTCTTCTACATCAAGAGGGTGTTCAAAGATAGGGTAGGCATGCACATGGTGGGCATGATGAGTGGAGCCGGCTGGAGCCGGGGGTCAGACTAGATGGTTCAGGAGACCCCTTTTGACTTGCTCTGTCTCTATGTTTCTATGCTTCCCCACAAAGGTAGAGGCTTGGCTTTCAGCAAGGCAAGATAAAAGCAAATGTTACACGCTGAAGAATATTGGTGAGCTGTTCGGCTGAAGACAGTTTCGACACTCTTCTTGTCTGAAGGAAACTGCCAGTGGGAGAACAAATTAAACTCCAGATACTTGATCATCTTTCAAAATATACTAAGGTGCCCCCAAACACCTGTATTGTCCGGTACTTAAAAAAGGGTTATTGTAAACCCTCAGAAGAATTCCGTCAGTCCATTTCCTCAACCTATGGACAGATTTCCACGGAAACCCTGCTTACCTTGCTGAATTCAACTTGTTAGGACTGACCTTCTCTCCAACTGCAAAGTTTCCACACACTGGGGGCGCATCCTACTGTCTCGCAACAGCGCCAGGGAAAGTGGGGTATGGGAGTGTTACTGACAGACCTCAACAGGAAGGCTAGATTGCGTGGTAGGTGCATGAAGGCAGAGCCCTGTCGACAGGCTCTCGGAAAAAGCAATGGCCACGAGTCACGGAGACCGTTGGCTCTGCTGCGTGTCTGAAATGCTGCACGGATGAGCCACCTACCTCCACCGCCCTGGTAGACCCGGAAGTGCTGGTCCGGACTTGGAAGAGCCGAGTGGGCGCAGGGCTTGTCTGGCCTCCTTCCCTGGAAGTGCCACCCTTGAACACGATCAGAGGTTTCCCTCCAAAGAGGCTGACGAGATGAGGCGGCTCTTTGCCCTGGACAACTCGTTTCTGGTAGGAAGGAAGGAAATGAATGAAGGAAAAGGCCTCCTGTCACATCAGAGGAAGAAGCTCTCTCATGTGTTGCATCATTAAGCCATGGAAACAGACACAGAAATCCATGCAGCGCACATTTCCCAGGAGGGCCAAGCACTAAGACCAGCTGAATTTAATAAATTTAATTAAGAAGGGTGACATCTCACTGTTTTCGTGCTTTGTGTGATCACTATATAAATATTCCCCCCATGGCATTTCATTCATTAAATCCAGGGCCACAGAGAAGGATTTCTGTATAACCTCCATTCATCTCCCTGTGTGGCAGGTCTGTGGCCCAGTTCTGGGGGACCCTACCACTCCCAAGACCAACCCATTCAGCCAGTCTCCAGATTGCAGCATTTTTGGGGAGCTGGAAGGACGGCTGTGGGATGGAGCAGAAGGGGAAGTCCGTTTCCATCAGAGCAGTTGCTGGACCAGGCACTCAGTACATACGTGTGTGTGTGTGTGTGTTTCTTCCTCTCTTGCATGCTCTACAAGTCCCACCTTCTCCCACTTTGGGACAACTTCCTTTCCTCCTCTGTAAATAAGCCCAGCCAATTGTCTCGGACGGCCCCTCTCCATCTACATACCTGCACCGCAGTGCCTCCAAGCTGCTCGTCCAGTTGGACCGTTAGGAAAGCCGAAGCTGCAATTTCGTCCTGGGAGGAATCGGCACCCTGCCTGAAAAGAGGAAGCGAAAACCTGAGGAGGGAGTCTCTTCTGTCAGGCCATGTGAAACTAGTTCTGATCCCAAGAACCATTTGGTGGGAGACGAGGAGGGAAGCCCCTCTCAACAGCCCGGATGCCTCACTCTTTGGTGAAATACTTTTCTCAAAGAAAAACTGAACGCTGTCAGGTTTGGGCCAGAGCTAAGGTGGCCTGCATCGAGCACCTGAGTGCACTGCCCCCATCCTGCACACCTGGGGATCTCTGTCCTTCCTGCTCCCCACCTGCTGTGCTTCAAAAAAGACAGCATAAGCAAAACCCAGAAACACTCTCACTTACCAGTTGTAGATGATTTTCCCCTGCTTGTTGCCGTGCCTGTAATCATACAAGATGATGTAGCTGTCCCCACCATAGAACTGGCCGTAAGTGGAAGAATCAACGGGGACCTTGGCAGAACCCTCTATTCTCCAGATCTACCAGGGAAGGAGGAGAAGAAGGGGATCCCGGATTAGAACATCAAGAAAGACATTACCCAAAGGACTCCGCTCTTGGCTGAACTGTAAAGGCTAGATGATCCAGGCCTTGGAAAGATGGGAATTGGCAAGGTGGTATACTGGAAAACTCACGGATCCCCGTCCCATCAGTTTTCACTTGAACCAGCACTGATTAGAGGGGATTCCCAAATAATTCCCAGATAACACCTGTACCCTCTCTCTCCCATGTTGCTTCTCTCTCACACACACAAGCCAGCTTTATGCAGCTTAAATATGAAGCTGCATCTCATGCCAGAATGTCACACTGCTTTTTTTTTTTTTTGTGATTCCAACAGTACCCAGCAAGAGCTTCGAGCCATTACTTATTTTTTCAACCAGGGCTGAACTTCCAGGAAGATCATTAGTCCGAATATTGGGTCGGATAGCCATCATGGAGCGTCTTCTGTACATTGCACAGAATTGTGTGTGTGTGTGTGTGAAAGGGAGGGAGGGTTGGTTGGTTGGTTGCTGGAACTAATGTTGGAATCCCATTTCTGTGCAAAAACAAAACCAACCAGCAATAGCCTCAACAAAAACTGAAAATGGTTCTGGAATGTTTCTGTGGACTGCCGATCCCATCCTGTGTGACTGCCCAGTTGCATTTCAAACATCTGGACCCGAGGTGGGTAACTTGGGGCTTTCGGACTAGCACATCTGGAGGGAAGCCTATTGTATACCTCTGGTCTGGACTGTGCAAACAGAATCCAGCTTTTCCTCCCATCTGTGGACCTTTCACCCGCAGATCCTGCAGAGCCTCTACAATCACATGCCCTGTCCTGAGTGCCACCGTGTGGCTCATTTTATTTAATTTATATGCTGTTCCACAGCAACCTGGGAGGTTATATTACTAGACTGGAAGGATAAACAGTGACAGCTGATAATGCGGTGGACCGACAATCCTTTCAGCCTGTGAATGGGTTGTATTTAGGTGTCTCGTCAGCATGCATCCACACAGAGATCTGGCTCACCTTCGCAGAAACTTCGGCATAAATGTTTCTATAAGGGCAGTGCATATTAATTATGCATATTACTTACACCTGTATTCATTGTAGTGGATGAAAGTAATGTAAAGTTTTTGATTGTTTTTCAGCTTTGGTTTTGTTACCCTGATTAGAAACTCACAATTTACAAGCTGGAGAAAGCAAAGAGGAGAGTGAAACTAGCAACAGGATGGATGGCTAAGAATTGTGCAGAATACGCTGCCGTAAAAGGGCTACTTTGCAACTCGCTCTTCGTGCTTCCACAATAGAGCAAATGCACAGCCAAAGGGAGCGTCTCAATTCCACCCGCTCGAGGCCTGAAAGCCAGTTGATCTTCTAAACCCCACCTGTATTGCCGGGGGTGCTGCATCCACCCAGAGCGGTGGGCAGAATCCCGATCCGCTGCCCACTCTCCCGATTCTTCAGAGGAAACGCACAAGTGCATCTGTTTCTCAGGGTTTTAACAAGAGAGGCAACAAGACATCTCAGTTCCCTCTCCAGTTAGGCCGGGGGAAGGAGTCACTCTGCATCCATGGGGGGATTGCAAGCTCCAGTGCTGGTCCTGGGTGGAACAGGTGCTCCCTGGAGGCACCCGACTGCCCAGATCTGTCTGCTTTCCTGAGCGGCTCTTCCGCCCCCAGATGCAGTCGGTGGACCAGTTAGGACAAAGGGATTCCGTGAAAAATTAACCAGACGGGATGCCAACATTCTGCGGCCCCATGCCCTGGCCTGGGAATGCAGTGCTGCAGGGCCACCTGCTGGGGAATGGTGGTAGGTTCTCGTGTGGTACCCAGTGATGGCCAACCAATATGGCAGACGGACAAACTCCATTTCCCTCTTTCCCTCTGAGACACAGGATGTCTAATGGTTGATCCGGCCCAATCTGGCCAAGTGGCAAAGCTTAGCCGCTCGCTCCTACTTCACAGTTACCTCCTTGTTTCCGGTGCCGTCGTCTTCCATGCCATGCTGGGCCGCCATTGGGGCGGAGGTGTGCAGCGTGGAGGCATCGAAAGGCACCTTCTCGATCTTGGCCACATGACCGGAGATGTAGGGCACACCCAGGCCCTCCGTCTGGTCCCTGTCGTGCCATATTTTGAAGAACTGCTTGAACAGCGGAGTCTCCCCTCCGTCTGGAAGGACTTGAACCTGAAACAAGGGAAGTATTCCTGGTTGGAACAGTGTCCCTCTTAACCATGTGGGCGGTGGGCTCCATTTAAGGGGAAAGACTGGCTTAAATTAATATGAGTTCTAATAAGACAGGGATAAAGAAACAGTGGCCCTCCAGATGTTGGACCCAGCTCCCATCAACCCCAGCCAGCTCAGGTTCAGTGACAGCTGGCAGGCTACAAGTCCTTCTCACCCCTCCTCTGAAGCAAGTCAACAGAGTGAGGTTTCATATCTATATTAGCTTTCTGTACTACTGCAACCGACATGACTCCCCTCGAATAAATTTTCTGGTGATGGCACTGAGCGATCCAGCAGTCCTCAGAGGATGACAAGATTCTCCCAATATTTCTTGTGGATGCCGCTGGGCTGCCTGATCCACATTAAGAGCATCTCTCACCACCTATCACTTTCCTTGTCAAATCTGTGGACTGCCCTCTAATACGTCAGACAAAGGAACCTAGTTCCTCAACTGGCTGAATGTTAAACTGATGTATGTCCCTACTGAGTTGGCCTTAAATATTGGAGAGTAGCTTTGGGATAACACTCGATGATAGAGCTGACATCTTTAAACATTTGGGAAAGGGACACAGTCTTTGGGCAAACGGTTTTGGGAGGCAAGGTGGCCGCCATCTTGGTGTCGAAAGGTCGGTGGGAATAGAATGTGGCAGCCACGTGTTCCCATGTTTCGACCTCTCACGGCCACAGTCTCCTTGCCCTGCTACTCCCGGCATCTTAGCTGTCTCAGAGACGCCCTTCTCCTCTACTCTGCTTTTGTCTGCCACCCTCACGAAACGCAGGCTCTCTAGTTCACTTCCACCTCCATGAAACTAGCCGACCATGAAACCAGCCAGAGTCAGGATTGTACAGTTTGGACCATTCAGGCCATCACATCAAACCACAGTAAGCACAAACTGTGGTGTGAAAGACAACTTGGCATTCTGGTTTGCCAGCCAATCACAAATCATAGGTTGTCAGTTCAGACAACCTGCCAAACCAAACATGGCTTTCCTTGGCTTGCATGATGCCAGTCTTTCAAACGCATAATTCCTCGTCTTCCAACTCTCTCTTTTCATTTGCCTTTCCTCTTTTTAATGGAACTCTGCAAGTTTCTGAAAATCACTATTTTTTCTAGTTTCTTATGAATCCAAGAGATGTTGGCTATGCACTATGATTTTGGTTTTTTTTTTTTAATCCTCACCTGTGTATGTGAAGGATAGGTCATCTTTGTGAGGAATTCTGAAGCCGTTTTCAGGGCTGCCTTCCGTTCCTCAGCATTAGCATTTTTCCCTGCAATTAACAAGGAGTGTGAGGTCACATGTGTGTACACAGGTATGCCTACATGTTATGTGCTCATGTGTGTACCTCTTCAGAATGGATATTTTCTCTTCATGCACAAACCAGATAATGTGGTAAATTCTGTAAGCAGTACAGTAAAAGTACAGTTCCCATTTGTGACCAAAATTGTGAAGTGTTAAGAGTTTTCATGGACAGAAAAGGAGGAGCACTATTTTAAAAACAATTAAATAGTTGCCCCTCTTCTCTTACTGTAACATTTAGTTATAAAAAATGCAAGATGTGTTGGAACCATGGTGGTGTACAGGGATTCTTGTTTGAACAGTGGGGATGACACAGCAAATTCACAATAATACTACAGCTTTTCTACATGAAGCCATAAATATGCTGCCTCTGCTTTTAGTTTGTCACAGATTTGTGATCCACACAAAAAGTGTTCCCTGTGATGCTTTTTAGCTACGCAACCTTTAGATAGCTCTAAAGTACAGTGGAACAGTGCAATTACAGAGGTGGACAACGTGGGGATTTTTCGCTATCACAAATAATACCACATTTTTCCAGCCCTGCAAAAAAGTGCTATAAAAGTGCTCTTTTGAGATAGAAGCAACACTGGAGGGTCGCAAAGCCGTTTGAAGAACCCGTAAGCATTCATGAACGTGGAACGATGCATGCACACTAAGTGCCTTGCGTAGAAAAGACCACATTCTTTACATATGCCATTTGTAAGAATATGCCATTTCCAGCCGCCTCCTGCCTAATGAGAACACCTCCTCCAATTTACCTTTCCAGACAAAGATCTTGCCATCGGTGCCATGGTCAAGAATAAAGCAGTCTTCTGGATTCAGGGCTGCCTGGGAGAACGGATTTTCATCTGCTACCAGAGAAACTACCATATTTCCTGCGCTGTTGGAGACCTATAAAAATGCAGAATTATAGATGCGGTTACCTACTTGAGAAAAGGAAAAAAGTGGTTAACATGTGCCTGATCTTAGCTTCACAACTGCCTTCTTTTCCAGAGCTAAAACTACACGCAGTGGGTATACGGCAAAGGCACCCTGCCTGCTACTCAAGAGCCGTTCTTGCCCTCTTCTCTTTTTATATTTGGGAGATGCGTTCCTTGTAGGCTTCTGAAGCTGAGCCTTTGCCCAGAATAAGACTCCTCCCGAATCCAGATTTGGAAGAGCCAAATAAGGGGAAAGGTTTGGCACACAAACCTTTGCAGCTTCTCTCAGCTACCTGGAGAGAAGAGCAGGAAAAATTAGGGAGGAGTCTAGGCATCTGCTCACCTGAATTAAAGCCAGTTGCCCCATAAGTGTATTGTAGAACAACATTTGAAGAGATGGTAAAGAAAAGGCAAGCTCAAGCAAATATTTGCAAGACGGTGCGCGAGCTTTTGAAGTACACAGAACATTTCTGCAGGCTCGGGTGTTCCAGGATTTGAGGGCGGCTTGTGTGTGTCTTCAGGGCAAAAAGGCCCCTCAAAGTTCTATGAGGGAGGGATTGCGAGCACACAATAAATGCGCCGTGGAGAAAAGCCCACACTGTTTCACGTTTAGTTTGCAAAGGGCCTTCGGCACCATTTTGCATGGAAAGGTAGGCTATAGATGGACCTGCTGCTTACGTGCCCACACAGCTCCAGTCTCGGGATGGCACTGTGTCGCCTTGCGATGGGAAGCCCCGGCCCACCGTGCCCACAGGCCTGGAGCCAGAACAGGGGAGCCAGCAAACAAAGACCGAATCATCTGCACCATCAGGCAGATCCTGAGGCGTGCAAATGTTTCCCATGCACCCAGCTGCAGGAGCAAACGCCAAAGCTTCAGGAAACAGGATGCGTGTGGGTGTAACTGCCCACGGGCGCCCTAGAACAGATGGGAAAGTGGCGTCCTGGAGAAGAGAAAGGAGAAAGGAAAGGTAGGTGGCGAGGAGCAGACTGCCTGGCTGCAGCTGCTGAGAGCTTTTCTCTGCGAGGGGCTTCACCTGCTCGCCTGCTGCTCGTGGGCTGTCTTTACTCTTGGTTTAATCACAGAACCAAACATTTCTGCTCCTGCTTTTCCACGACTTAACCACTAGGTGGCACCGTGGTAGAGCAGAAGCACAAGGGCGTGCATGCCCAGACACACACAGAAATTTCTTTAAAGATTCCTGCTCTCTCTCTTGCTTCCACTGTCCCAATCCAAGGCCTTGTTTTCCCTGCTCTTAAAAAGGAATGCTGAAAGGGCTCTTTAAGAACAGAGGCAAAACCGGAGGCCAGCGGCATCGCCAAAATAATCCATAAACAACACACACAGAGCGTGCATTGTGCAGAGAAGCCTTAATTAATTATTGTGGTTTAGAAAGGGTGCCTGGTATGCCGAACACAAACACCTCTGTTGGGGGGAAAGAAATGCGACAATGTACAGTTGCGAGACCCACTTGAAATCACATTATTGTCAGCAACGACAATATCAGTCGCGGTTGCAGCCTCTGTGCCTGGCTGTTGTTGTTTTGCTATATGCAAATAGCAAGAGGAGATCAGGCGGTGGCGTTAGTGGAACGACAGCCTTCCCAGCACGCACTCCGGTGAAAAGCTGGCCACTCATGAGTGAGACGCAGCTGCCCCGGGGGCAAAATACACCGGTCTCTGGCCAGCCCGCCCTCCTTCTTGCCCTCTGCTTGTTATACCTTGTACAGTTTCGCCAGCCTCCTGTTGGTTGCATCCACCCTTTCATCAGGAGCACCTTCTGGTAAGCTGGGCTTGGATCCCAGGACCTAAAAGGCGAAGATAGAAACCGACAGGATCAAAGTTGCTTGTCTGTTGGCAAAATAGATTCTCTTCTCCCCAAGGTGCTCCAGCAGAGCAGACAAACAGGATCCACATGGAAAAATAATCATCCGCTGTTCCGCCCACACAAGTGACCCGATGTATTCTTGCTGTTCAAGAGGAGCTTGTCTGAAAAACTGAGAGGGCAGGAGAGAGAAACCAAAGACAAGCCTTGGGGGAATCAGAAAGAGCAGATGAACTGCTGACTTCAGGACACGACTCAGGTCTAAGAGAAAGGACTGCTGTTCCTTGGGTGGTGGGTTCTTTTACAATACCGGCCTGGGTTTGGGTCAGAACCCTGCCACTGCGACAAATATCGCAGGAAAACCTGCAGTTCTCCTTCCCACTGCACTGCTCTCCAGCACAAATGCGGATGAAATGGAAAAGTAATACGTGGGTTAAAAGGCTGTGGGGATTGTGTTATGGAACCCATGACGTCACATGTGCTGCCCACCCGGCCTTGGCAAATTGTAAGTATGGATTTACTGAGTTATGTGGGGCAAGATTTTTTATTAATTGTTGATCACTATTCTGACTTTTTGGAAATTGAGCTCCTTCCTGACCTGTCTGTTGAAACTACAATCAGGCGCTGTAAAGTACAATTTGCACGTCATGGCCTACCAGATGGGGTAATCTCGGATAATGGACCCCAATTTGCATGTGAGCAATTCAGAAGGTTTTCTACAGATTGGGGATTTGTGCATGTTACCTCATCCCCGTGGCACCCACAAGCTAACGGCAAAGCAGAATCAGCTGTAAAGATAGTGAGGAACCTTTTCAAGAAGTCCAGGTATGATGGTAGTGACCCATGGAAGGCCGTTCTACATTGGAGGAACACCCCGACCGAAGGCATGGACAGTAGTCCTGCACAGCATTCGATGTCAAGGAGACTGAAGACGTCATTGCCTGTGGCCAACAAACTGCTCGAACCTTGTGTGGTTACAGGTGTTCTGGAGAAATTGCGACGGAGGAAACAAATCTCCAAACTGACATACGACGTGTCTGCCAAAGATTTACCAGAACTAAGCACTGGAGAGCCAATCCGCATGAAGCCGCCTCCTGGCGACAGGACTGGTCACTGGAGACTGGGTACCTGTGTTCAGAGGGTTGCCCCTCGCTCTTACGTTGTGGATGGCAGTCTCTACCATCGCAATCGAGTGGATCTGCGAGTGGCAGAACAACCCACCTCACAAGCTTATGAGAGTCCTGCACGTGATTCTCCGGAGGTGTTTCATGCCCCTATACTTGGTCCAGGATATTGCTTACTTGGTCCAGGATACTGCTTACTGGACCAAGTAAGCAATATAGAGACAAGGCTACTGTCATATCTGAAGGAAACAATGAGGACGAAATAATGCAACCGCACATACCAGTAAGTTCTTCTGTACCAGACACACCAGTCAGGAAACAGGACAGTCCCTTATCAACACCTTCTGGAACTAAATAGCCTTCACCAGGCAAATCCCTGTGGCCTTGCAAAGCGGCCGAGTTTCAAGAACTCCAGATAGACTTAATCTGCAGCTTGTTTACTAATAGTACAGTATGTTATGTTTAAGATTGTTTGGGATCTGTTTTGAGTCTACTTGTTTACACACTGTTGAATCATATGTAAAAGAGGGGAGATGTTATGGAGTTACTATAACTACCAATGGCAACATCGCATTGCTCTTACACTTCCCGTTCCTGTCCTTTGCCTTTGACCCAGAGGCAATAACACAGTGCTTCAGGACTCCTCGGACTTACAGCTTGCAGCGTCGTCCTTTCTGTCCATGAAACAGACTGTGGGCTGCCAAAGGGAGGCAAACCCCGCAGTTCGGAGCAGAGTGGAAGTTTCTGGGCAGAACTCAGAACACAGCAGATTCAAGCCTCTCACTTCCCCAGGCTGACAAGCGGGGAGGGATTTTTGCCCCAGAGGCTAGAAAAGCCCATGCAGGCCCGGCAAAGTGCATAAATGCAGACCTGCAGCATCTCGTCCTGCTCAGCACCGTCTTCTGCAATGAATACCGTCGCGCGTCCATTTCTCTCGTTATCCCTGATCTGCTTGGAGACGGTTGTGGCCTTCAGCTTTTCAAAGCTGTTGGCCCGAGGGCCGCACCACTGATAAATATTCTACAGGAGACAGAGAGAGAGAGAGAGAGAGAAAGAATAAGAGAGGGAAAGATCATGACTATGCGGGGGTACAGCAAAGCATGCAAGGGGCAGCCAAGCTTCAAGAAGGTCAACTTGAACAATTTGTGATGCGGTCATATCGAAAACACTTACGCATCAAGGCCACTTCCACAAAAATGGCAAGACAGCCATCAACGTGGCTTGAAAACATCTGGCCAAAACACACAGGGCAGCATATGCTATATAAATCTCAGAATGAGGCATTGGACTCAACTGACCATTTGGTAGAGCGAGCTGTGGAAAATACGCTTGCTTTCCCGAGAGGCCTCGCTCCGAGCTGGAACTGGCAATTTGAGTTGGAGGAGTTGCCTGGCTCCAGAGGAACAGCTGTCTTTTTGAATATTTCCAGTGTTTATTACACAGTCATGCTCAGCCCACCTGAAACTGGAACTGGATTTTTTTTCAAGCTACCTTTTGCTGCCCCCCAAGGCCCCCAAGCACAGCCCCTGGCTGCACTCACTGCTGCCTGCGGCCCTGCGATAAACATACCCTGCCCAGGTCCAGGATGAAGCAGTCTCCGGTGTTGAAGCTGTCCCAGCTCACGGGGACCTCTGTCGCTCGCACCGTTCGCCTGCCTTTGACTTGGAACAGCCTCTGGACTGTCACTTCGTTGGGAACCACATGCCGGAAGCCAGAAGCCACACCGCCAGACTGGAGGAGCAAAGAAGCCGTTTCACTGAAGCGGCACCCACATGAGGAGTGGACTGGGAAAGAGGTCTCCAGCAGCTGGCGAGTTCCACATCTGTACCTACATGCACCTTCCTTCTAGGATTTCTGCATCCAGCCCATCATAAACTATCACTGGGATTTTAAAGGTTCGGTCTGGGAAGTACTTCCTTGAGCTCTTTTTGTTCTTGCTCAGGAATTTCTGTGAAAACTGCAAACCTTTCTTGGGGAGGGTTTGGTCCACTGAATGGTTGGGACAGGTCTGGGTGCTTCAGAAAGAAAATGTCCGCAGCTGTATGCCCTTCCACCAAATGCTTTTGCCCCGCTCCTTCCCAAATCTGCAAGGCTGAAATGCCTCTTCCCAGATATAAACCATCTGGAAGAGCCCAAAGCTAAAATAGGCTGCCATTTTTTGTATTTTGGCTCAATGGCTTTGCTTTCCACTTTGCCTGCTACTAGAATTGAAGCCTCAGAGCAATTCTGGAACAGAATTTGGCCCCTTTACATCCCGTCTTCTTTCCTCCTGTGAGGAATCCATGCCGCTTCCTCTTCCAATCTAATGTATCCTCGCAACCAAAACCCTGCGAGGTGGGTTAGGCGAACTGTGAGTGACTGGCCCAGTCACCCAGCGAGCTTCATGGCCGAGTGGGGGCTTGAACCCGGATCTCCCTGGTCCTCAGTCCAGCGCTCTAACCACTGTGCCACACTGGCTGAGGTCAAAGGCCCTGCTTTACATGCCAGGCTCTTTGCTGACGATCGACAGACTGCTAGGAAGAGAAGTATAGGAATGACACATACTCTGTACTTGATTCCTGATTTGAAGTACCCCTGGAAAGTGGGCGATTCGTGGCCCTGGGTCTCCCGGTGCTGGACTGCCTTCCCACCGAGGTAATCGTCCAGTTGCACTGTGAAGATGGCAGCGGATCCTCTCTCGTCCTGGGTGGACTGGCTCCCTGAGAACCAGAAGAGAGAGGAGAGGATTGCCTTCGTGGCCTTTGGGTCATGCTGGAAAGGATGTGGAAAACTGGGGAGCCAGAGGGGAGCAGCACTTTGATGCCCCACAGTGCCCCATTACTAGCAAAACCAGGACAGGCGGGCAAAGCTGAAAACAAATTCTGGGAGCGTCTGTTATAGAGCAGTCTATAAAAACTTCAGATAAATAATAAATTGCAGAATGCTTTGGGCAAAGAAAGAGACATTGTACAAAAGAGGTTCCATATGCACAATTTCAACGTGTCATCATCTATTCTATTTTCATGGCATCTAGTTTTAATTTCTTTTAGAGAGCAAAACACACACGTACACATCAGTAAATCCGGTGGTTCTCGCTTCTAAGTAGATATGCCTCGGATTGCTCTGCTAGGGTGGTTAGCACAGCTCTCCCCTTACCTTTGATTCATTTGTGGCTGACCCTTTGAGGCGGGGGACTGACTCTTGAGCAGGGAAAGAGCACAAAATGTGGGAGCCCTAGTCCCCAGATATTTAAAAACATTTATTACATTTCCAAGTGTTATTTTTGCAGTTGTCATTTTAAAATGAAAGTCGATGCCAACACGCGTCTTATGCTCCTGCATGAGATTCCCCGTGGTTTCCTGTTTACGTTGTTTGTGTGTTTAAATAATTTACACCCCACCTTTCCGAACAAGAAATGTGGCTCTTGGGTTCCCAGGCTGCCTGCGCCCTCCTCGCCCCAGCCCAGTTAAGAACGGGGTGGCATCTGAACCGACCTGAGCAACGGTTCCCCTACCTAGCCAGAAGTGGAGGTCGTACTGCATGTTCCCATTGCGATGCTGAATGGTGTTCAGGATCAGGTAGGCATCCCCAGTGAAGAAATCCCCGTAGGAGTTTCGTGGCACTGGCACCAGGTCAAAGTTCTCGATCCTCCAGATCTGCAGGCCGGACTGCTTTCCCGCTTTGAGGAATTCGGCGTGCTCCACCATGCTGACGGGCTGCGAGAGAACGGAAGATGTGAGACCCCCAAGTGGCTCATTTTGCTGGGGCATTTATTCATTAATTTTCTATTCCTTGCATTTAAATGCTGCCCCCATAGCCAGGAGGCCCCCACAGCACAATCATAACAAAAATACAGATAAAAATAGATGGCAATAATAGCTCAAACAAATTGAATGAAAATACAACATAAATACAACAGGAGGATAGGTTAGACATGTACATGGTAGGCATGTCATGAGCGGAGCTGGCTAGAGCAGGCGGCCAGACTAGATGGCTTGGGAGGCCCCTTCTGATTCGCTCTGTTTCTATAAATACAGTATAATCAATGAAACAACATATGACAATAAAACAACAAGCCTGCAGCAAAACAAAGAACTCTTTGTTCATTTCCGACTCTTATGCTGACTTTGCCAGACATCCAATCCCCATCCCACAAAGGTGATGGTCAGCAAGAAACCTTAGCCAGGGGTTCTAGACAGCAACATAGCGAAAGGGAACTACTGAAATGACCACAGGAGAAGAAATAAAATCCAACCCACCATTCCAATGCTTGCCCAGATAGAAGAAAGCCAAGGGGATCTTACGTTTTAGGGATCAAAATGCAAGGTACAATTTGCTACTCTGACACTTTGAACAAACCTGACTTTTTGGCTGAGTAATAGACAAAAGGAAAGCATATCAACCCGTGCTGTGCCTCTGGGTGAGTCACTGATCTGGCAGGAAGGAACCAGCCCACAGCAGAGATTTCCACAGAGAAACAGCAGGCAGCTTCCTTAGAAGGGAAACAGTTCCACCGCATGGCTGCTGCCCCCGGGGAGAGATTGCACGGTCCAGATGCGCCCGATGCACAGATGGGGATGGAATGGCCACCCAAGCCACCCTGCTCGGAAGAGCCTGGCAGCTGGGCCCACGTGCCCCTTGTTTGAATCCCACTGCATTCGCCCAGAACTCTGTCAAAAAGCCCAGCTTGCTAGAGCAGCGTATTCCCTGCAGAGAACTGACGATGTAAGCTCTTGGGTGTGAGCATCGGCAAGGCTGTTCTACTCCTGATCCGGTTCTGACATTACAGACAGTGAGGAGATGGGCAGTGCAAAATATGTTTTTGTATGACAGGGTTTCTGGTTCTAAGGAGGAAGGACAAAAGAAACAGCCAAGAGAAAACAAAATAAAAAGTAACAGGGAAAAAAAAGCTTTTTCCTTTTCATCTTCAGAAATGTTCATGAACATTAATGTTGTATCAACTGTACTATTTTCCCTCACTCGTTGCAAAGTTCCTCCAGTTTTTCTGTCCATTTGTGCATCGTGTCTTTTCCTTTCCCACTTTCCTTCTGCTTTTTCCTGTTCTGTACTTTATTCCTTTCGGCGAGAAAACATTCCATGCAGCCGCTTGTTCAACGGAAGAAGCAGGGGGCCACTTGGAAGAGATTTTGGAGCCCTTCCAAGTCTGATGCAGTTGCTGGGAAGACAGGGCTGTTTCCCAGGCCAGCGTGTGAAGGATGGAAGGACGTCACACCTGAGTCTTTAAGCGCGTGCACGCAAGCTGGGGTGAGCGTTTGCACACGCCTGCACGATTCCCACACGCAAAATGGTTTAAGTGTCCAGAAACGTTCAGCAGGGCTGTTTTGTCACCCAGCTGGGTCCCACACCCAGCTTTCGCTTCCCACCATGTAAAAGCCCATACAACCTGTCCAGTACATTCTACGAAATCTTTGGTCCAAGAGCTGTCTAATGCACATCAGGGTCCGAGCAAGCTCATCGCACTTAGACAGAGCCACCTTGCACAATATTTAGTATGAGTCAGGCCGTGACTCAGAACCATGTTTTCCCTATGTTACTTAGGCTACTTAAAAAGAAGGAAAACAAACAGCTTGATGCAACCCAAACAGCTCCATCAAAAAAAGTTACATCCCTAACACAGCCTGCGGGTCCCACACCGGATGATCCACCTTTCCCAGGAGTGGATGACAGAGGTGGCTTGAATATTCAAAGGCTGCTTGGCAAACAGGCCGGGCTGCAATGATGGTGTGAACCGGTCATTGTCAACAACACCTTCTCATGCTACACAGAGAAGGAGGTGTTACCAAGCAGGTCTACTGACAATTTAACTATTTAAAGGCCCTATTTAAGTCTGGCTGTTTGCTCAGCTCCTCTCACCTGCCATAAATGTTTGGTGCTGTGCTTTAATGCTGTATTAATGTCCTGAGACTCGGGTGAAGGATGGAACAGAAATGCTTTTACTAAATAAAATAAATAATAAATATTCAGAATTTGCAGACTCCTTCCAATCCCTCTCTGAATCTCACTTCCTAGCAAACTCTTTTGTGCTAAAGTAGACAAATCACTACCGAATCCTACTCCTAATAATTTGTGGTTTTGTTTTAAATTCTACCCAGTTAGTTGCAATACTTTTTGCTCCAGAAAAGGGTTTTTAGGTGCACTAATTTAACAGGTTGGGAGCTTTTTCCTGTGGAAAATCTCCTGTTACTTTGGTCAAAACCAAGAAGAGGAGTGGCCGGAACCCAACGTGGACAATGCTACAGAGCCTTGACCCCCCCCCCCCCGAAACACAGTGGGGCTTGTGAAGACATTTGTATCTTGGCATTTTCTTTCCCCCACTGAGGAAAAGTTCCCCTTTTCAGCTTTGTCACTGGGGGAGACACAAGAGGCAGTAAATACAAGCAGTGCCGCTTTTTTTTGCAAAAACTCTGGGATCTACCAACTGGAGCATAATGCAAAAGATGCAGACTTAAGGATCAAGGAATTCTGAGCCAAGGAATTTATTCTGAGTACCAGAAATAGACAAAGCTCACAGCCCTTCCACAAAAGAACCCCCCTCCTGGGGACCCCAAGCTTTCTTCATTCAGCAGTATGGGGGAAAGGAATCCTTTTGTTCCTGCAACTTAAAAATGGGCACCAGACATTCTTGCAATGGACGGCAAATTGCCCAGAGGTCTCCCAGCAGATCCAGAGGTCCCACGACATGCCAGCAAAAGTGAGAAAACACGCTCTGCCTTGGCCATTTCAACCTTGCAGGATTCCCCTGCTCTCTCTTCTCCAGCCCAAAGAAAGACTGGCAGGTCTGCCCCAAAGACAGAAAAACTGCCCTTGCAAAGGTGGAGGCAGTGAAAGAAAACAGCAGCTTTTTGCTTACGTTAATCATTCCATGCATGTTAGCACAGTAAGCCTTACAACACCCCTAGAAGGTAGGCCAGTTTTGGTACCAACATAGTATAAATGCATCTAAGTGAGAAAAGCCATTGAGAAAGCTCGTGGATGGAGAGAAGGTTCGGCCTGAGGGGCACTTGCTTAGCCACTGCACCAAACCCGCTGCCCAAAAACGACTCTGAAGGTCTGCTTGCTTTAGTGCCACCTTCTAGACAAGCCATTCACACCCAGCCTATTCTTTTCTTGAGTTTTGGGATGACAACTCTCACCAGCTCTGATCACTGGCTGTGTTTGCAGGGCAGCCAGGAGCTGTAGTCCGAACGGCATCGGGTCGAGGACGGCTGGTGTAGGAAGAAGATTCGGTGGTCCAGATCTCACTAGGTTCACAGCTGCCCCTATTGCAGTGTGTCTGCTGGTCTTCCAGGCACCTCTCCCATCGCTTCTCTGGCAACAGGCTCACACAGCCACCCCTCTGGAATTTAACTCGGAGAGGATGGTCACTTACCACAGCCCAGAAGACAGCGATCACCCCGAGGAGAGAAGCCAGTCCCCGAAGAGACGTCATCTTTGGACCGCCGAAGCTGACCACCCTTTGTCTAAGCAAACATGCAAACACCAATGCCGTCCCCGTTTGCAGCAAAGCTGGACCAAGCCTGTGCTTCTCCTCAGTCGGCCTCCAAAGAAAGAGAGACTGGAGAGCTGGAGGAGCGTCCTTTTATCAATGTGCAACCGCTGGCAGGGATCCCGTCCTGGCCACGCCTAGCCCAGCTGAAAAGCTATCACTGGGCACGCCTTTTCCCAGCCAGAGAGCACACCACGGGGTGCAGGGGCCGTGTCTCAGAGGACCTTTGGTGCATGTGGTATCTATTACTCCCGGACTGTGGGCTGCGGTCCATGGAAAACCGTCCACCACCAGCCAGTAAGTTACATAAAGGCAGGGGGATGCATCTGGGGACAGATCTGGGCTTGGAATTCTGGGGTCTGCAACAAACAGCCGGGAGGCGAGTTTTGCAGGATGGTGGCAAGCCAGAAGTGTAACTCCAGAAAAAACAGAGTGATGCTTAAGGAGCTGCTTCCTGGCAAGCCCAGGAGTCTGAACAGAGCGAGGGTTTGCAGGCCTAGGTGGAGATGGTACAAGAGCAGGGGTCAGCAAACATTGTCAGACGGGGCAAATGGATAAGCCCTCACCCCGTCTTCTGTAGGTGGAAGGATGCCAGCGGTGCATCCCTGGATGGCTCTCCCACACTGTCTGGGAAAAAGGGAGCACGACGGGGCTGGCACGAAATGCGGCCCCCTCCTGCCTCCCTGGAACGAGCAGAAACACATGCAGCTGCTCTGCTGCAAAGCATCCATGCCTTCACGAGGGGTTCAAGCTGGGCATCAGCACGGATGAACGTGTGCATCGCAGTCTCGCTGGGATGCCCACTTGTAAGAGGAGGAAATGTACAGCAGGCTGATCCCGGCAGGCTGTGGGCTGTCCTGCTGGAGGGGTCAGGGAACTGTGGGCCCAAAACAGACCTTGCTGACCTCCCCAGTCTTAGACTCTCAAGACCCTCTCCAGACAGGAGTCCCAAGGGGCGAACCTCTTTACAAGCAGGCCTGTCCTGCCGGCAACAGCTCCAGGCCACAACCACAGCACAGTCCGGGGGTAAAATCCCCACCTGGTCTCTGCTGAACCTAATACTTTGGAAGAACAGGTTTTGCAGTTTCTGAACATAGAAACAGAGCGAGTCAGAAGGGGCCTCCTGGGCCATCTAGTCTGACCTCCAGCACCAGCTGGCTCCGCTCACGACATGCCCACCATGTGGACGTCCAGCCTATCCTTGAACACCCTCACTGATGGGGCCTCAACCACCTCCCAGGGAAGCCCATTCCACAGTGCCCCTAAGTCCCCAGCCTCATCTAATCTCATATGAGGATATCCCCCATCCTGCTTTGGGGAGAACACAGAGGCAAAAGAGTCATTTAGCATCTGTGCCTGTTCCTGCATATTAGTCACTGGATCTCCATCCTCCTTATTTAGTGGTCCCACCACTTGTCTCCCCTTCCTCTTCCTATTTACATGCTGAAAGAAGCCCTTTTTGTTGCTCTTGATATTCTTGGCAAGTCTCAGCTCGTAATCAGCCTTAGCCTTGCGAAGAATCCTTCTGCAATGGGCCTCCTCCTCCCGGTATACCCTTTTGTCTATTTCCCCCAGAACCCATTTCCTACGGAGGTTCCTCTTTCGTCTAATCCCTCTAACCACCTCCTTTCGCATCCATGGCGGCGCTCTCCTCCGCCTCCCCACCTTACTGACTAGAGGTATCGTCAAGGCTTGCGCCTCCAAAACCTCCCTTTTGAGTGCCATCCACCCCTCCTCAACTCGCTTACCTCCCAGTAACCTGTCCCAGGAGACTTTCTCCAGTTTGGCCTTCAGTTGGCCAAAGTTGGCCCTCTTGAAGTCCCAGCTTCTAGTGCTCGACCTGCTGCCCGTCCGCAGTCCCCTGATCTCAAAGCAAAGGATGGAATGATCACTCGCATCCAGAGCTCCCCTAATCTGTACTTCATCTATCAGCTCCTCCCTATTGGTCAAGACCAAGTCAAGGATGTTTCCCCCCCTCATCGCCTCTCAGACCCTCTGTGTGAAAAACGCTCCCTCAATAGCTTCTAGGAAGCAAAGTGACCTGGCTGTCACTGCCGAGTGAGTCTCCCA